TAATCTCAAGGACTTAGATATCACATAAATTATCCTTCCGATAAACCCTAGCCAAATTTTAGCATAAGTAAAAATGTTCTTTTCCAATTCCACTGAGACCTTGGATATTATTCAAACCAATTTTTATGAAGATAAATTCATTGTCCCTAATCGATTCGACTTCATTTTGGACATTGAAATATTGATTTAATCATTGAATTGTAGCCGCAAGCTGGATTTATTTTGGGGATGCGATTGTGTGTTATTCAAATAAAATAAGAGCAGATTCTATTAGCTTTGGTCGAGTCCGTGGGGCCCATTAAATGGCACATTGGGGCGCCTTTGTGTGGGTGTCTTACTGGTCGGCCAAGAGCAATGGTGCGGTTATCCGTCTTCGTCCTTTGGTCCTTTGTCCGAGTCACTGGCTGGCACTCGAGTCTTGTTGTATGTGGTTGTGAGCCAAATGCCAAGCCATTTGTTCCGAGCACATAAATCTTGGCAAATAATTGCTGTAATAGCACGCATTCGCAAAAGATTCTGGCCTCAGTCGATGGAGGGCCGCTTAAAATATGCGAAACGAACTGCATTTTGGCTCGGGTCTTTAGATTCTGCACTAAGATTGCTCCCATCAGCAATCAATAAAGTTTAGAATGCATCAAGTACAGTCGGCCCTCTAAAATTCATACGCTTATAGGCTATAGTTTTTCTTTGCCTCTATGAAATCTATTTATTTCAGCCTTGAAATTGCATTGACAAACTGCAATGTAATCAAATTAAGTGAACATTCATTTTGTTTTTTTGTTCAACGCTTTCTTGTCGCCTATATATGATGTGTTTACTCTTTTTCGTATTTACATTGGCTCGGTGACACATTTCAGGGTGTCAATTAATGAAACATACATCACATTTCATTAGCAAAATTAAGAGTACATCAATGTCAGACAAAAACATATCAAATATATAAATAGGAGTGTTAGAAAGGTTGTTTAATTATATAAAAATAATTTGCCATTAAAAGGCAATCAATGGCCGTTTACACAAAAATAGATGATGGTACCCCTTATGAAAAGTGCCAGGTTTGTTAGTCCCGATTTTCTCCTCATGAATGACAGTATTTATCCCATAACTAAGCCAACAAAAGTCTAAATTGGGAATGTCATACCTCGTTGAGCTTGTTTTCTAATTCCTAGTCAAACTGCATTCACAGTTTGAATTGCGAAAATTTGGCCATTTTTTGCAAAAAAAGATGATGGTACCCCTTATGAAAAATGCGAAAATTAGTGTTTTCAGATTTTCTCCTCAAAGTCTCAGTATTATGTCCATAACTAAGCCAATAATGGTCCGAATATGGAATGTTATACCTCGTTAAACTCGAAATTAAATTCCTATTCGAACTGCATTCACAGTTTAAAGTATCAAAATATGGCCATTTTTTCCAAAAAATAAGATGGTACCCCTTATCGAAAATGCGAAATCTTTTATTTACCGATTTTCACCAAACAGGTGTAGGTTTGTTCCCCTAACTTTGCCAATAATTCTCCAAATATGGAATGGCATACCTCGTTTATCTTGTTTTGTAATTCCTAGACAAACTGCTTTTACAGTTAAAAATGTCAAATGCTGGCCATTTTTTGAAAAAAAAAGATGATGTTACCCCTTATGAAAAATGCGCAAATTGGTTATCTCAGATTTTCTCCTCAAAGTCTCAGTATTATGTCCAAAACTAAGCCAATAATGGTCCGAATATGGAATGGCCTACCTCGTTGAGCTTGTTTTTTAATTCCTAGTCAAACTGCATGATGGTGTGGAATCTGGTGGAAAGAAGAGAACTTTAAGAACTTAAGAACTTTCGCTGTTAAAAACAGTACTGCGCTCTGCTTAGGCCATTGCAAAGAATCCACTTATTTGCCTTAATTGGTGATTCCCCTTAAAGGAGTTCGCCTGTATCTGTATCGGCGTTTACATCTGTATCTATATCGGAACCGAGTATCTATCCGGCTGGCGCTTAGCCAGAGTGCGTTTCGTTTTGGCGGCGTCTGTGGAGCTAAAGCCCACTTGGACTGGCGCTGTTTGCCCTCGTTCCGCTGGCTTTTCCATGTGGAAGGGCCCATTGTTTGGCTTAGCCATGTTTGACTATGCATTGTTGTTACTGCAAATACTCGAACAACACACACGAGCACACTCAAACACACACACACACATGGGCTCTCGGCACATGTGTGTCCTTTGCCATTGTTTGCTGAATTTATTGCACGAATTTCTGAATTGGCTCTTTGCGACTGTTTGTAGTTTTATTTTCTTATTTTTACACCCCTAAGCGCGTGTCCTTGAGGCTTATGCTAAAACAATGGCCCCGAAAGTATTTATTGGACCAACCGCCACACATCCGGGAGACTGGCGGATGGGTCATCCGGCCACCTGCCTTATGATTTATGCTTGTGTCATGTTAATTAGCACGATCTCGTCCTGATTAGTGTTGCCTGTATTGCGCATACGACACGTTGTCTCATATTTGGTACAGCCGCCGGCAAAACTAAAACACGGCAAACGTGCCACAGTGAATTCATAGTTTGAGCAATTTAATTTGAAAATAAAGTGAGATTTAATAATTTCCTTTGACAAGAATGCAATATAAATTTAGCAGAAAGCGGCATCTGCCGAATTCTGTACTAAAATCCAAAGTGAAATATTTTATTAGTAAGAAATATTTAATTTACTTTCTCAGTTTATGAGCTACCCCTCTTTAACGTATATTACGAGTACAGTGAACTGTCTGCCATGACCGTTAAACAAAGGCATAGCAAAACAAAGAAGTGCCATGGAATGAACTGCAATTTGATTTCATTACTCCAGTAATTAGTAATTAGTGAGCAAATTGAACTTTTGCTAGTGGCAGTGGATAAACTTGACTGGATTGGCGTGCTCGATGTGGGAACTTTCACTGTACCCGCAAAGTTGGGACGACATCCGTTGCCGCAGATGCTGTTGTTGCTGATATTATGGTTGTAATTTCCTTGTTCGTGGTTGCCTTTCATGTGTCAGGCATTTGTCCCATCAACATCAACATCAACATCACCATTGCCATACCATCCAGTGCCGCAATCCTCTTTTGTCATCCTCTTAAACCCCCAAGTCCCCCGTTGTCACAGTTTTGGGGACTGAAGGCAGTCACATGGAATATATTGCGTATACGCCATGTAATGAATACTCATCGTCCAATTGACAACGCATGAATTTATGAAAAACGAAAAACAATTCCTCGTTTTGCAAGCGGAGATCGGGCCTGGCATATGTGCATGTTTGTTGGCATAAATATGCAACATGTTTCCTGTACATCACATACGCTTCGCTGCGTCACGCGTTTACGAGCTTCCCCTCTCATCATGGGACATATCCGTAATCGTAAACGTAACAGAGGCCTAAACCCAAACCGAAACCTATGCCCAAACCGAGGCCAAAACAGGCTTAAACCGATGAATTTGTGTTACATATTCGTTGCGAGTGAGCATAAATTACAACCGAATGAGGATTTTCACTGTCTGCCTGGCTGGAAAATCCTGGCAACGTCTCTCTCGGGTGCCCGAAAGCATTTATTCTCAAATCAGCACCAAAGCTGGCTCATTTGGCTTGTAACCAAGGCCCAAAACAAAGGCATTTGCCTGTCAAGGACTGCTCTTATGAGTGTATGTTTCCAAAAGCAATTGCGATTAGCCCTTCATTTTTGGCAAAGCCTTATAAATAGCACTGCGGACAGTTTCATACTTTTAGGTAGCTTCTGGATTTTCAATTTAAGCTTGCTTTGATCCTTGAAAGGATTTGAATTTAGGTTTCCTAATTCACTTTTTCCCCTGCCTCTTTAATAAAACAATGCAATACTTCAACCGCAACCCTGATCTCAAATATAAGTACGTGTACTGCATGTATATAAATGGCCCAAGACAATAGACTTCTCTCGCCAAGGACTATTTGTACGTAGACGAATTTCTAAAAATACCTGCGGTTGGCATTCTTTTGACAAATCTTTATAAATAGATGTGCGGACGCTTTAAGACCTCAAAAGCAGACGAGCTTCACTTGAACAGGATGGCTATTAATGTTCGTCAGCAATGCTTATTTAGGCCAACGTGTGGTTTTGGTTGCCAGTTATTTGGCCAAACTGCAGTTTATTATTTGGCCATTAACGTGGCTTTTGGTTACATTCCTGACTTGAAGTCTGTGAAGCTGACTGCATAAATTTTCTAAAAACAATTGTGGTTAAAGCCTTTAAGAGCTGCAAGGCTAAGCTTTCCCTCAACGTGACTGTTATTAATTTTGAAAAGCTCTGTTTATTTTGGCCAATAAATTGTATTGCTTTCAGCCTGAGGCATACATTCAACATGGCTGGAGTGCATGTTTCAGCCAGATATGCAGACGAATGCCACTATTTGGCCACAAACCCTGACGTGGCCTATAATCGCTGACTAACTAAACAAGCACCACTTGTCGCCTAACATGCGTTGCATGTTCTGAAATGCATGATTTATTTATCGGTCGGTTGTGTTCTGCCCAGCCACAGCGCACAAATCATTGTCATGCAATTAGATCATATAATGGAGAATGGATTTTAATTAAATGCTGCAATATTTTTGGTTCCACAATGGACTTAGACCGTCCACATCCGTTCGCCGGTGGCTGTGGGTGCGCCTAATCCAATTAACTGTCATAGACACACAAATTGGCCGTCACTCAATTTGGTTTGCAGTGGCAAAAGGCCAGAACGCCGCCCACAGCTGTGACAGTTTTCGTCCTGCTCCTAGTCCTGGCCCAAATGGGCGGCATGGGTGGAGCCGACTATGTGTCAATTTCGGTTTCAGTTACAGACTTTTGGTGGCACTTTCGGAAATTGTTTCAACAACGGTTTGTAATTTCACACGCCGCAAAGTGATTAGCCCGGCTTTGTCCCCCTGATTGAATCCCCCAAAGCCAAAACTACCGAACACCAAACACACTAACCCAAAACCATTTTCCGTTTCTTCTTGCAGTGACAGACTTTGATGTGAACCGGAAGCGAGGGCAAACGCCACCGAAGGAAACAGGGCCAAACAAAAAAAAAAAAAGGGAAAAAAGGAGAGGAGCCAGGGCAATAGTGTGCAAATTGATATAGTCCGGAGCAGCATGGATGAGGAGCACGACGACGATCGAATAATATGAGATTAGATGGGGCTCTAGAGCCCCGGCCCCGTCAAGGAGCTGCCACGTTCAAGGGCCGCCAGCCCCTGAGGCGCGAGACCCGCGAACCATGTGAGACGCAGCAGCAGCAGCAGCCAGCTGACGAAGACGACGAGGCCACAGACGCTGAGTGTTTGACCACCAACAGCAGAAGTAACAACAATTGCCAAGCCAACTTGGTCTTCAAACCAGAGAGTATAACACCAGTAACAGCCACGCCCAGAAAAACAACAACTGGAGGCAAAGGCAAAGGCAACGTGGTAGCCACCGCCACCGTGAAAACGCATAACAGGCAAACCATATTAATGGCGCCCAACGTGGGGCATCAGCGGAAGAGCCTTGGCCTCCGACTTCCGATGAAGCACGGCCGCAGGATGATGGGTGCGGGCTGGGAGCGCCTTAACGGCCTGGTCCTGTGCCTGATTTCCGTTATTGCCCTGCTGCCGCCGTTGACGCTCGGCGATGATGGCGATAATTTCTTTGCCGTGAATGCCTTTAGCGCGGGTCCGGAGACGACAACGCCAGAGTTCGGTAAGTAGTCCAAGGCTCAGATAAGAATGCTGCACCAGTCAGCGGGATTACGACGGGCTTAGCCTTAGTTAGGAATGTGGAAATGGACCGCAATGGCGTCATCGAGGTGTCATATGTACATGCGCCTGCCTTGACAGTCTTTTGTTCATCTGTCTGTGCCGGCAATTCCATTGCAATTGCATAAGTCCTACAGTGACATTAAGTTCTGAATGCCTTGATAAGTGCTAAGTTTTATCGCCTATCTGATGAGCTCTTACGAATTTTGTATCTAAGAGATAGCCAGGGCAATGAAAGTGGTAAATGGTGCAGTCTTATGGGTTAAGCATTTACTTTATAACTTCAAATGAATCCTTTTAGTCAGTCCTCAGATCTTACCTTGAACTCAGTTCTTCACTTTTTTGCCTTTTATAAACTTACTCCCAAGAAGCTGCTTGCCTTAAAGCGTTTTTTTGAATGCCGCATGGATTTTCTTTATATAATTTCCTTGACTTTTTGCAAGCCCATTTGCCGAAAGCTTTTAAGCCACTGTGCTTGGGCTCGTGCCTCGTAGTCATCCCTCCTTCCTCGCATTAGAGTAGTTTTCTCATCCGAAACTTAAATGGCCTGTCTGCAGTGGGTTCTAGTCAGAATGTGAAAAGTTTTCCATGTACTCGCATGGCTTTTTTCTAGTACTCGTACGCCGAGGAGGCCTAATGATGGTGCCGAAATAAGCAAAGTTGGCTTTAATGGCTCGGCCCAGTTCGGTTAATTATAAATGCCGGCTCTGTTGCAGTTCAGTCTGTTTAATGTGGGCCCTCGGCTCGCCTGACATGTGCAATTTGTAGTCAGATTTTAGGCCCTTCCTCCGGTTGAAATATGGCCCGAGTCTGGCCATTGGGTAATCGCTTTTTGGTAGGGCTACGGCTATGGCTATCAAAGGTTGGCCTCGGGTCACGGACTTGGTCCACAGCAGAGCGGCAACAGCCCCCAGGCAGCCACTTTGTCAACACTTTCACAGTATTTCCTCACTGCAGCAGCGCCACGGAAACCAAAACCAAATAAAACTCATCTGGGGAAAAAACGTAAGCAAAGCTTTGTGGACTGCTGATGCTGCGCCATCTTCCTCTTGGCAGCTTGCAGTCGAGGGTACGTTGGGGTCGATTGATGTGGGTCCGCTGCTAATGCATAAGTAATACCCGCAGATGGGATAACCCCGAGTCCGTCACTTGTGTGACCCAAATGCTTGAAAGTTCCTAAAGCGACTATAAAGAGTAGGAGCTGGTATATAATGGTTACCCATTACCCATTTTAGATTTAACTAAAGTTATTGACTTAATTTAGAACTAATTTTTGTTTATTTAACACGCCTTAAAGAAACTAGCCGTATAATTATAGCCACGGGGTACCTTTAGTTGGGTATCCGGCGGTCTAGCAGACTGTAGAAGCCACCATTATTCGCATTAGCATTCATTTTTCGCAGCCCCTCGCAAACTAGAACCCTATTCATAGCCAGTGCATTTAAAAATAAACCGCCAGCAAATAGACCCCGTCCCCAGGCCATGGAAGCAGGCCCACTAATACCACTAATACTGGCACATGGGCATGAACTGGAAAATGGCGCACCCGTTTGTGCATGAGCAGCCATTTTGTTTTGTCTTTTCACTTCCGTTGGCTTAAATGTCGGCGCATCCGCTGCTTTATGGTCTTGGTTTTGGTTTTGGTATGGCGTGGCTTGGTCTTGGCTTTTGGTCCCGGTAATTATGGGCTGGAGTATCAACAGAATTAGAGGTGGAATATGGGCCTTAACCCTTCGCTGAGATTTTGCACACATTGTCGGACGGAGAATCCCCGGAATCCCCGGAATCCACCGGAATTCACGGGCCGAAGAGTTGCTCCCAAGAGCTTAATTAAGATGTGAAGGGCCGCAAACGCAACTCACTGCCGACTCGAGTGTTTTCATTCCATTCAAAGTTAATGAAGGATTCCTAGCCGGGCAGGCTCAAGTGCACGGTAGTATGCTCGGGGGAAAACACACACTCACACTCACGCACACATGAAAAACAAAAAAGTGAAAAATAAAACGAGGAAAAATGAAAAAGAAAACCAGCACACCACACAAACACCTCGAAGGCTGCTAAAGAATTTACATTTTAATCTGCCCACAAGTCGTTGGGGATTTGGAAAACATTTCGCAGAAAGTTTGTTGCCAGCTTTTATTTTTTATTGATATGCACAGTGGCGAATCGAAAGTTTGGCCGCGGTTTCATTACAAATTTCACTCCTGGGATTAGTCACGATGACGTCACGTAACCAGCAAGCCATATATCCTTTATCCTATCCATCCTTTTCCCATAGATTATGCCAGCCGCGGGCAAAAGAAGTTTGGCGACAAGTGCGATAATACCCTGGAATGCGGCTTCCCCGGCTCCATTTGCGATCCCAAGAAGAAGTCCTGTCAGTGCACCGAGGATCTGCCCGTCACCAATCACATTGACAAATGTGGAAAAGGTAAGGCCATTACTGGTTGGTTAGCTTCTCTGTCCGTTTCTCCCTGCTGTCACCCTGCCAAGTTTTCATTAAAAGAGAGCCAAGAAAGCTGCTGTGGCAGCAAAGTGAAATCCCCCTGGCTTGATTGTCTTGATTGCGGGGCGCAGCCAGAAGTTCTGTAAATTAAAATAGAAACTTGGCAGCAGGAATAGTAGCAGCAGAAGGAGGAGGGGGGTGCTGAAAATTGCAACTAATGCACATTTGACATAATTATAATAGATATTCCCCAGTGGCACACGTGCGCCGCTGTAAATTAAAATCAAATCGGTGGACATTCCAAATGCGTATTTATGGCTGGGGATCACCCCAAAAGCCAGTGACAGGCGAAGATCTATTTTTATGGGCGTGACTCAATTGTTAATTTCTGCCCAAATATCTCCCGGCCATTGATCAACGACACGGTTGACAGCCAGTCAGTCAGAAGTCTCAGCTCCTGGGCCAAGTATCTGCCTCGGGCATCACGGCCGTAATCCCCTACGACCGGTGCAGTGTCTCCGGGTCTCACAGACACGCCCTCCGCCTCGTTAGTTCCATGATAATATTTATCACTGGAGTGGACAAAGCAGTGGAAAGTCAATCCGCCCCAGCCATATCGCACTTCAATCAGCCATTAAATCAATCCGCAAACAGCCACGACAGCCGGGAAATATTTTTCCTGATACGGGCCATCGCCTGTTGTTGCTTGTTTACGGGGCACTGAGAAAAATTCTATAAAATTGAAAATACACTTAAATTGTAAAAACTTTCCTAAATTTAACTCGAAGTTATCACATTTCTGGGTTTTACAATATTACAAATTTTTAGCTCTCGGCCAGAAGTGATGTTTAAGAAAATAAACCTTAGAAGGGAATACATTACACCCTTTTTTCCCTTGACTGTATAAATCGTGACCATTTGTCAGCCCTACTGATTCCTTTTGGTGTCCTCTTTCCACATTTTTTCCCGTAATCTCTTCAACCCACAGAGGCCGCCGTGAACGAGTCCTGTTTCTTCAACGAGCAATGCGAGATGCGATACTTCCAGACGGAGTGCCGGGATGGGCGCTGCATCTGCCGGTTCGAGATGTCACCCATTTGGGCCAAGGACGGATCCGTGGAGTGCAAAGGTTGGTGGTCAAGAACCAAGTAGACATTAAGCCGGCACTGCTTATGGTTAATGGGGCTGTGTTGTTTGTCCTTTTGCCATTCGGCTGTTTGCAGGGCGCCAGGACAAGAGGGGAACCGAGACCTACATCGATCCGGCCATGATTGGCGTGCTGGTAGGAATGGCATTGATGTTTATTATTATTTGTGTCGTCCTGCGATTGTTTAGCCAGTGAGTAAATTGCAATGCAAACATCTTCATCGCCCCCACCCACACCCACACCCACAACCACGCAAATAGTTTAAGCATTAAATCTGGGTTAACATGTCACACACCATTTAGGCTATAGTTTCGCTTGAGTGCTCACATAATTGATTTTATTGTTCAAGATTTCAATATTTAAATGAAAAATTCTTCCATTAAGGAATTCAATATAATTTCATAAGTTATATTGAAAGATTTATCATTCTTTTCAAAGTTTAAACTATGATTCGAACATTTTTAATTTACTTTTCCTATTCCCTAAGCCTCACTCTCATATTCTGACTTCTTCCAAGACACACTTGCTGCTCAAATCAAAGAGCCTTAATCTTAAGTCCAAGCAGCTCATCCGTTGGCTTGTCAATAAACTGGGTCAATTGGGCTGTCGATGCTTTGATGGGGCTTCATTAATTTGTGGTTGGCAAGCGATACATAATTCGAGCACCAATTAATTTCCAGTCTAATAAACCGCATTTCTGCATTAATTGGCATTAAGTTGGAGTAACCATGGCCCCCGATATCTCTGCACAATTACACCCCCGCTTGTCAACCCCGCATAAACCGGATAATAACCCACGGAGCCGTCAAATGTAACTAATTATTGGCCGTAATTTTCAGAGCTCGCTGGCGTGAGAACCGGACCATCTTCAATACGCCGAATCCTCGTCTGATGAACGTCTCACTGCTGCGGGATAGCAAACTGCTACACGGACAGGAGCGCCGAGGATCCAGGATGTCGGTGCGGGCCCCATCCCGGCAGCCCAGCATGGCCTCTTTGAGACCCCACTCCCCCAATCCGTCGCTAGGTAAGACAGGTTTGTATTCCATGCCCCCCAGTCGATGGTCAACCTCCTCCAGTCTCTGGTCTCTGGTCTCTTCCGCGATTGCATTTTTGGTTCTTGTTTTACCATTTCTACTTCCCATTTTTGGGTTCGTTCCGTTTCGTTGTTTCCGTCTCGACAACTTGCCGAACTTTCTTTTTGCAGCCAAAAACTATACGAACAGAAAGAGAAACCCCTCAATACTTGCTTACCCAATCAATCAATCAGTCAGTCAGTCAGTCAGCCAATTGATCAGTCAGTCACCAAACAAGAAACGTACAAAATCACCAAACGAAACTAAAGTCACTTTGGGGTGTGGATGTACGCCTAAAACGTGATGGGGAGTGTGAAGGAACACTGCGAAGCCGCCATGATGTTAGGTATTGCAGAAAAGTTTATCTAGCTATCAAAGGGTACAGTGACAGGCATTTGCTTAGTACTTTAAATATTAAAGGAGTTAAAAAGGTTGAAAGTATGTCCTCAATTAGTTCATAAGGATTTTAGTAAGTGAGCTAAAGATTAGTAAGATGCTTAAAGTGCAGTATTTAAGATAACTTTCAGCATGCCAAATACATTTGAAGGCACTGGAATGGCATGGTATACAGTTTGCCTGCTTTCCGAGTCAACATTCCCTTTATTAAAAGTTTATAGGCTTAAATCTCATCACTTTTTAACCAATTCGAAATTATAACATATTTTTATAGAGTTTAAATATTTGTCGGATATCAAATTCTACAAAATTTTTAATGTTAAACTAGCTTTTCGTGACTTTAAATATTATTTTTACAAGGCCTGCAAGAGATTGGAACACATCCGACTAATATTTATGGACTATTGAGATAGAGGATTTTTTGTTATTGTTTCAATCCGCAACTAGTACGCTGGGCAGCATAGTAACTACTATCTGACTATTTTCGCCACCTCTCCTTAACCCATACTTCGACGGCTGAAGAATGGCGAAACAGGAACAACAACTCTTCGGGGGGCTCAATCAATTTGACTGACAGTTTAAGAACCGTTTTACTCAACGCCATTACGGTGATAATTGTTAGTGTGCTAAGCCCAGCGGACAGTTGCTTGAAATTACCTTTTTTGGGTTATTTATATTCTTATTTGAGTTTTGCGCCCCCACCAACCAACCCGAAACCACCCAGGCACCCAATAAACCCACCGACTCGCTGTCGCGTGCCCAACTAAAGGCGAAATATTAAACGTATCCAACCGCTCATTCCCCCCAAAAACAAACAAAACAAACAAACAAACACGAAACAACAAACTGAAACTGAAAACACAAATAAAACTGAAAACCAAAAACCGAAAACCAAAAAGGACGTATGATCCGCTCGAAGAGCAATACGCGGTCGAGCGATTCGCGGGTGAGCGATGTGTCCACCTGTTCGAGACTTCTGGAGCATCCGAGTGCCGCCAGCCAGCATAATCTGGTCCATAGCCACTTTCTGCCCTACGTGCCAACGACCACGGCCAGCACAATTACGGCCACGAATGCCACCGCAACGTACGCTGCCTCGGCCACGCCCTCGCCCACGCCCACGCCACCGCCATCGGCGGGTCACCAGCAACCACCGGCCAACGCCAACGCCACCAGCACCAACAACACCGCCACCACCATCACCACCTATGTATCCTCAGCGGGGGCGGCACCAGCCTGTGGTCGGACCAACAAGTTCTAGGGTTCTAGAGCTTCAGTTCACCGCGATATACATATAGATACTCGTGCATATCCGTATATGTCCGCAAACGTATCACACCCAAACGCTATAAAAACAAACGCATCCATATCAGGGTCCAAAGAGGTAGGCAGACCTGAAAGCAAACCCACACCAACTCCCCAATAAAAACCCACCCAAATTGTTGACAGTCTGCGTAGTGTACTCGTAAAGTTGATGTCTTGTCTAGTGAAAGTTGTGTCCAAACAGTTGTATCCGTATCCGTATATTTGGGGAAATTGCGTCGGCTGAAATGGGAAATTGCTCTAGCTTTAATGATAGTAGATATGTACACTCCAGTACCTAACAATCTTGTAAAAATTTCTTCTTTATTTCTGCTCTTAACTGTCTGTAAGAAGTTGTCAAGAATGTGGTTTTCCATTTCAAGCTACCAGAGTTTATATCTAATTACCGATGCTCTTTCCCCAGTGTACTTGTAGTCGTTATTCTCGTTGTTGTTCTTGTTGGCTCGAAGTGTTGTTACCCTAGTCTTAATCAGTAGTCGAGAGTTGCGGTTAACCTGTATGTACTAATACTACTCCAACTTCCACCACTCCTGCCACACTGCCACTGCTACTAAGATCCTTAGAAGACACGCAAAGATACAAAAGCAGACACAGATGCAGACACACGATCCGTTACAGATACATGAATATACGATCGTAGATACTCGTACAAAACCAAACCTCATCGAATCTTTATCTCTCTTTCTTACCTACTGATCCATTGCAGCATCCGTCTTTAGTTCCGTTTCCGCTTTGGTTTCTTTCCTTTCTAGCACGGCTACCTATCTATAGTTTCCTTAACTGGCTTTGATATATCATTTGAGAGTACAGGGGGTGATCTAAGGAGCTATAAGATATTTGAATCCTTAGTTTAAGTAAGTTAAATACTGCAACAGATAAGCTCCTTCGATTGCCTGCTGTGCCTAGAACATTCCACGTAGAAAAGGGAACTCGAAGTGTAAAGTGGGTAACGCCACTCGAAATCCAGTTCCCGTTGACCACATTGCTGTTGTCCTGCGATGCCAACGATAACTTCCCTTCAACCGGTTATCCGTAGCGAGTAGCTGATCTTGTAATCCCCCAGATACTGATCCCCTTCTTTCTGGATGACAATCTTCCCCACAGGATCCCATTCCGAATCGCACGGCAGCAATGCATCGGCTGCCTCGGTGCGCTCCAATCGCAGCAACTCGGTGGCTCCCGGCAAGGTTGTCCACCATGAGCGCCACGGATCCGCCCATCGCCAGCACCACCCACATGGCCACCAGCCGAAGGAGCAGCCACAGTCGCCGCAGGATCAGTCGCTGATCACCAACATCACCACCAATCCGGTGGCCGAGAGCGTAACCGTGGAGATCATCGAACCGGGACAGAAGTAAGCAGCAGCAGCAGCAGCAGGATCGGGATTAAAAGTAGAAAGCAAGATGGTATAGGCAAGATTTACTGGCTAACTCTCTGACACACGAACACTGGACACGAATTACAAAGAACATATAGTCACGATATATGCACGCGATAATAAGGCGGGTCCGCTCCGAGAACGGGGCGTGGCCCCGGCAAACAACACACATGAGGCCATTGTTCGACTCTTTTTGACAAAGACAATTTTTGCAATTAATGGAAATTTTTTAACCAAACCAATTATATACTTATTATATAAATACGGAGCATATTAAAAGAAAACCCACACATACACCCAGAACAATGCTAAATGAATTACTTACGTACGATTACACCGTAAAAAATAATTGAAAAAAAACCTTGCATAACAAATTCATACTACTCTTTTTTTCAACCAAAAAAAAAAAAAAACAAACAAACAAAGAAAAAGCAAAGGCAAAAAAGAAAAAATGGAAAACTTTATTAATTTAAATAACATATATTGTAATGCAGTTATTTAACTAAGCTTTGGGTTAAAGGCTTTAAGGATTAACGATAAAAGAAAAAAAAGAAAAAACAGAAAAACACAGCGTAGAGGAAACCTAGAGCATGATCTCAATCGTAGTGTTCTATAGCCAGCCATTGGAGGCACTGCATCGTGGCCAAAGATGCGATTAATTGGCAGAAACCAAATGCAAACCGCTGATACAACGCCTTATCTAAACTTATATTGTAGATCCAGTAATTGCCGCTCTAGCTCCCACATATGGATGTTATTACCCAGAAACGATGACAAACCAAGTTGAAGAAATATTTAACAACCTCGGGACCATATTTTATAATCAAAATATGCGTTTCATTGCGAAGCACGCACGTTCACCTTATTCTCGTTTTGGTATTAGCCTTTCGTTATCGAACAGATGTAGGTTCGGATGATGGTAGGGGACGTACTGGAAAGGAGTACCTATATATTTTTTAACAACTAGCTGAGCAAAGTTTAGGGAACACTCACAACATGATATTAAGGATAATGATTATACATAGCTCGCCAAGAGTCCAAAATCTAAATTGACTTCCAGTTGAATGATATAGTTTGAAATTTTTAAGTTTGACCTATGCTGATTTTTTAGTTTGACAGCCTTTACAAACTCACAACGCACATTTCAGATCGGGGCTGAGGATTTTCGGGCTGTGTATTGGGCTAGTCGGAAATAGGGGAAGATTACCGGGTCTGTCCAATGCCTAGCTCGAACTTCGATTGGACAACGGATCTCCAGGTTATAGCCATAGTAGGAATAGAAAACGATATTGATAAGGTTCAGTTGTTGCCCCCAAAAACAGACGATTCTCATTTGCTTTTGTGCTCAATCAAAGAAGCTTAACTGTGAGAATACCAAATGAATACAAGATACAAATAAACGTAGAGCGAAAAAATCTTAAAGTTGCTTGAGAACTTCTAGCTAAACCAATACAATTAGTAATTAACAACAAGAAAATGTCAAAAAAAAGAAAATACTTAAAAAACAAAACGAAAACAATTTTATTAAAGCATCGAATTTTTCTTAAAACAAAATGAGCAAACAAACAATCTTATTTCTAGGACAACCAAATCTAGTTACTTATTTACATTCTAACGGGCATTCGAATAAAACAATTTAGACTTTGGAATTTGGGGAAGAATTTCAAGGTTTAACTTTGTTTTTAGGCAAACGCAAAACACTTACATCTAAGCACCAAAGATTTAGAATATATATATATATATATTAAAAGTAATTATAAAAGAGAATACAAATAAATGGATCACTGATTTTTCTATTTACATCAAATATTGTTGAAGGCAGACTTTAAGCGAATTTTAAATAAGCTAAACCAATGATGGGCATATGAAGAGAATATTTTAAAACCAATTATATACATACATGAATATGCTTTATTTACTTTAATATTTACATTATACACAACAACAACATACAACTATTATATGAACTTGTATTAAAGTTTCGTGACAAACTGCTACCAAACCGAATGCGATAAATTCATTTACACTCTACCGAAAAAGAAAACAACAACAATTTTATATACGAAGCGAATTCTTGTAATGCTAATATTATACATCTAGAATCAAATGCCATTATCGCACATCTAAACTAAAAACCAAAAAACTAAAGTAATGAAGAGACAAACGTAAATCTTTAAGCCTAGAAGAGAAACAACTTATAGAGTTTAACATTTCGATTTTTCATGTGACTTGTAACTACAAAGAAACAAAAACAAAAACCAAAACGGATACTAGAAAGGATCGTAGTTATAGAGAGCGAATCAAAGCCAGACAGTACGAGTAGCAAAATATAGACGATGGTAATGTAATCTTAACCTAAAAGATAAATTGCTTTTTCAAATTCAAGAAGGCAAATCGAAGGCGATCGAGTTGAAACAACTAAGTACGAGTATATTATGAAGTACATATAAAGTATATACATATATAACTATATTTAAAGATCAGTTCACTATAATAAAGTCTATATTACCATACCTAACAGAACAAAAGCCACTTCGCCCAGGCGTACGTGTGTAATTAATTCCCCCAGCAGTCTTTCACAGGGTCGTCCCCTTGTACCCCAGTTCGAGCACGGATCCCTGATCCTCCGATTTCCTTCCCAGCACCCGTTTACGGTAGCTCTGCTCCGCCAGGTGCCTCAGGTGCTGGGCGGTACCTACGCCCGTCTTCTCCACGAATCGATGCAGGTAGCCATGCCGGTTGTGCAGCAGCTCGTGAGGATGCCCCAGTTCCACCACCCTACCCATGTCCACTACCATCACCCGGTCGTTGTCCATTACGGTGTGCAAACGGTGGGCGATGGTCAGCACGGTGCAGTGTGCGAACTTGGTGTGAATCGCCTCCTGGATGAGATTGTCGGTCCTAAAAGAGAAGAGGGTTATACTTTAATTTAAGATATATATTATCTATTGTGAGAAATTCAAGAAAGATATTACATATATAAACTAGACAAACTAGACCTTAGGGTAAATAAACTTTATAAGTTCCAACTCAAGATAAGTTTGATTGAACTGTCAAGAAGGCAAGTAAAAATTTGGATAGGGGAAATTTGATATATTTTACGCCGTTTTTCATTGACAAATTATAATGATCAACATCAGCTGATTTTGAAGCCGAAGTGATTCTTTTGATTTTCGCTGTCACTCTTGACATCGCTCGTTTTGATCTTCCAAACCCAAACTTAGGAATTATTAAATCAATCAAACTTTTTTTTGCGTTCTCCCTAAACTTTTTGTGTCAATCATCGAACTTTCTGCTTTTGATTTGTTTATAATTTAATTTTTTTATTTGGAATTGACTTACTCTGGATCCACGTTAGCTGTGGCCTCGTCCATGATGAGTATTTTGTTCTGGCGAAGGAGGGCTCTGGCCAGGCAGACCAGCTGTCTCTGGCCCATGCTGAAGTTGGCCCCGCAATCGTGAAGCCTGCAGCATATGCCCTCTTTCAGATTCGATACGAACTCCTTGAGTTTGACGGCCTCCAGGGCCAGCCACAGTTCCTCGTCCGTCTTCTCCTCGAATGGATCGAGGTTGAAGCGGAGAGATCCAGAGAAAAGCACCGGATCCTGCGGTATGATCGAGATTCTCCGTCTCAGATCATGTAGTCCCAACTCGGATGTCTCATAACCATCGATGGAAATGTGTCCATCGATGTGAGCCAAACGAAAGAGAGCCTGAACAATGGAAGATTTACCCGCCGCCGTGTGACCCACTATGCCGATCTTCTCCTCACCGCGGATCGTGAAGTTGAGACCCTTCAGGATGTACGGACCGTGATCACTGTAGCGCAAGCGCAGATCACGGAAGTCCAGCTGTCCGCCACTGGGCCAATGCTTGGGCAGGTTAACCGATTTCTCCGTCTCGTACGCAGGTTCCGATGGTATATTCACATACTCCATCACCCGCTCCACACTGGTCATCATGTTCTCCAACTCCACAGTTTGCCGCATTCCCGCCTGGCACATTAGCACCAGTTTCATGGACTGAGTTATGGCCAGACCCACATCCCCACTGTAGTAACCTCTGTGCTTGTCGAATAGCAGGAAGCTAAAAGTCACCGCCAGAATGTACAGCACGCAGATGAGATCCGTCCAAAAGGCAAAGGCGCGGTTGATGCTCACATGAAGGTACAAGGCCGAAGTATTCTCATTCTGGTAGTAATGGAAGTCCCGCATCATGTATTTGGTGCCATTCAGAGCACGGATGGTGGTCAGTCCCTTGAAAGTGGCATTCGTGTGTGAATAGATGGGACTGCGAGCTAGAAGGCATTGAGTTAGTAACTAAGATGATAAGTAAGGAGATTTTTGGCCAACTTACAGATAGTTTCTATGCGCTTAAGACTCCGACTGGCTCCTATGTAAAGACACCGACAGCCGTATAAAAGAGCCACCACCACGATGGCCGGAATGAGGAGCCAAATGTTGGCTGTGCTGACCACCGCGAGCACAGCCAAAGCATTTACAGCAAACTCAATGGAGTCCATCAAGGCCTGCGGAAGGTTAATATCTATTGCCAGGATATCGCTGGAGAATCGGTTCAAAATCCGCCCAGAGGTGGCCAGCGTAAAGAAATGCATAAAGGCACGAATGACCCCTTGGAATAGTTGATCATGAATCCGCAACGATATCCTCAGGGTCATCATAAAGAATCCAAAGGTGCGGAGAACATAGAAAACGAGGGTGCACAGGATGAGGAACGTATAGAGGATCATCATACGCAGGCGTGTTCTATGATACTCCGGAATGGGTTCATGCTGATTGGGTTCTGTCTCCTCCCAAGTTGCCCTGGAAAGTATGAATGTTTTTACATCATTACTTCAACTTCAATGTTATGTATATAAAACTTGTTAAGTTATTCGAAAGAACTGTAAACTTAAAATTGATGAAAAGTTTATTTTAATCAGAATCCAATCTAGGGTATTCCTCAAAAATTTCACTTGAAAACGAAATCAGTTTATGCGCTGGAAAACCGTGTCTTTTATTAGCCCTCTGATACTGGAATAACCATATAACATGTGGCGTCGAGATAGTGAAGTCTGATCCATCTGTTCGGAATTGCGGCAATATTTATTGCAATCAACAACTGGAACATGTTTTTTATCAATTTGTAGTGTTATTAAACACGTCGCAATCTATAATTCGGACTGACTCATCTTATTTCGAGGTTAGTCACTTAAGCCTATAATAACTACAATGGCTTTTGAATTTTTTTGGGAATCACTCAAAGGGCAAGTGTTAATAGTAGAATTCAAGTAAATATTTCTTACCATTTGGAGAGAAAGATGTCCATGGTAGCTTCAGATGCACGGGCTACAACGAACATCAGAAGAATAAGCACCACCACCAAGGGATGTCCCAGCACCCTGAAGTACTCCTTGTAGGTATTCAGTTTGACGGATCCTCTCTCTTGCTGTTCCTTAAACTGTTGCTGTATCTGATCTCGATCGAGATGCTCCTCCTGAGACAGAGATTTCCTTGGCTCCGGCTCTTCATAAACACTGTCAGTACGCATTGCCCTTAGTTTGGCCACCTCGACATCATTGGCCACAGACATCCGGAACCTTATAAGCTTTTTAAGGGCATCATAATGCCCCTGGATAGAAATGCGGCCACCTTCGAGTAGGACCAAATGATCCACATGTCTGAGCAGCTGAACTCGATGAGTGACCAGGATACGTATTTTATTAGACAGGAATTCGTTGAGGCAACGATCCAGAAGCATTTTGCTCACATGAGAGTCAACGGCGGATAGAGGATCGTCCAAGAGATAGATATCCGCTTTTCGATAGACGGCCCTGGCTAAACTAACTCTAGCTTTTTGGCCGCCACTCAGACTTGCACCTCCTTCACCCACTCTGGTTTCATCTCCTGAGGGCAGCTGTTCCACATCTCTGTCCAGATGGCAAACCCGTAGGACTTCCAGATAGCGGTGCTCGTCGTAGGGCTCCGTAAATAGGATATTCTCCCGCAAACTACCCCGAAGTAGCCACGGCTCCTGAGGAGCGTAGCTTAGGACTCCATTCAGATCCACACTGCCACTAATGATATCCAATTCACCAAGTATCACTTGGAGGAGAGTGCTCTTTCCAGCACCCACTGTTCCCACGACTCCCACGAATTGCTGATCAGTGGCCTGGAAACTCACATCCTCTATGTGGCGATGGCGCTTCTCCTGGTTTGCATTATCCCAACTGGCAGTCAGTTTATGGACCGTAATGCTCTTGGTTTCAGCTTTGGGCTTGTGGGTGCGTCCACTGAAATTTCCATGTTCCGGATTATCCTCTGCTTCCTTAAAATTGTGCACTCCTCCATCAGCAGGAGTCTCGTGCTGGAAAAGGAAATCCTTCACTCGATTCGCAACCACAAGCGTCTCTACCCACATATTAATGGCCAATGGCCAGGAGTGCAAAAGAGAATCGTTCAGGTGATCGTAGTAACTGGAGACTATAAATACTTTCTGGGAGGTGACTATGTCACCCGTGAATACATAGGTTACTAACGAAAGGAAGAGTGACAGCTTGGAGATCATGCCAGTGCACTGCAGTCCGGCATAAATGTAAGTGGAACCCTTTATAGAGTCCATCTCCTCCTTCCTCACTTTGCCAATCAGTTTGGCGAAGGACTTCTCCCAGGCGTACATTTTGATCAGCTGCATGGCAGCGATAATCTCGTTCATTAGCTTCACCCTTTCATCTCCAACATCTGCAGAGCTCCTTTTGTACCGGGCAATAGCCCGCGCGGCCCATGCTTGAAGCGGGATAAAAGCCACGATTGTGCCCAATCCCACTACCGCTGGCCATCCAATCAATTGGTATATGATATAGACGAAGACCACTCCTTCTAAGGGACCACGCCACAGCTCGTGGAAGCAGTAGAAGGACTCGTTAAAGGTCGGCAGATCGGTGGCCATCAGGGATATGGCGTAGCCACTCACTCCACTGTTGTCCGCTGCCACCGAAACTCGAAGGAACTTCCGGTATACCAATCCCGCGCAAGCCAGTCGCACGCGAGAACCCACTCGGAACAGGTACTTCATGAAGGGATGGAAGAAGAGTCCCGATATCAGGGAGCAGAGCACCACACCCATGGCATACAAGTAAGCAGAGTGTTTTGTTATCTTCCCAGTGCTCTCCGAGAAAAAGGAGACCAGGCCGCCCAGCATCAAAGGCTGCGTTGTGCTAAGGGGTTAAATCAAAATTAAACATTAGCCTACAAACTTATTATATTTTTCTTATACTAGAAAGGATATATTCTATTTACTATGTCTTTAAGACTTCTTCTTATGTACTTACTGCACTGCAATGGCCATGATGGAGTAAACAATGCTAGCTGGCACAAAGCTCCACCCGTAGGCCTTAAATATCATGCGCAGGACGTTGGGTTTGGGTCGCTTAAGCTCCTGCTCCCAGTGACCGAGCAGGAAGGCTGACACGTTGGTGCTCTCGAGACTGGGTTCGGGGGCATAAAGATCCGACGGATCCAGACTCCGCCGTAATCCCTTGAAGAGAATCTCGCGCGTCCAGCTAGAAGAATAGAGAGAGCACAGGGCAGGTGGTCGGGTTATTGACGGACATGACAGGTGTCGCCGGGCTGTCGCGGATTCTTTTATCGCTCTTCAAAGGAATCAAACGAATGCACTCCCGCCGTAAATTCCGAGTGACGGCCAAGGTGCTGTGACCATAAATCTGACAGTGGGCGGTCCGTCAGCTGGACAGCTCTGTATCTTATCAGCAGGACTTCAAGAGGGGTCAGCTCGCAAAATCAGTTAACTTGAATCAAACGGAGCGTTTCTCACGAGTGCACAAATTTAGAAACATTACGTATTATGATTTCAATATTACGTATACGCCTGGATGGCACACGTTTTCACTCACATAAAGAACCATTTGGAAAGGAAGTTGGCCTTTGTTACCGGATTTGGTTGGCGCTGCTCATGGACCGCACTCATTATTATATGCACTTAACGAACGTAGACATATAGTATTGTATAGTATAGCGATCTCGCGAATAATATCACATATGTATATGTCAGATCCTTGACACGCTTCAAGGCACTCGCGTGCGATTCTTGCGCCACTCCATTCACCACTGACTGTTGCCCGTCCGGGCATTTCAATTTTAACTAACCGCTAGCCACTACGCCGTGTTCGGGAATCATCGTTATAAATCAATGATCCGCCCTATCGGCCAGTGGCAGCCCAGTTTTATCTTAATGCCTGCTGACAGCCACCCATCAGCCGACATCGGAGCAGAAGCAGACGATGCAGAAACTCCGGGCGACGAATTTTTGGCTAATTGGGTTTCACTGTTTCGCTCTTTTTTACGAGAGTTTTGGGACTCAGTCGGGGCATCCCGGTGGGCAGTGAGGTGCGGTGGACACCTCTCTGGTATCTTATCGTAATCACAGCTACCGTGTTGACTTACTTTGATTACACTTTTTAGCAATTGACAATTTTAATTGTAGCTCCAAAAGGTTCATCCTTATCGATCCACACATCATTCACACGGATCTTGACAGTCACGGCCACAATTTTAGTTCTTTAAACTAAAGTTCTGATTTCTTCAAAAAGTTGTTTTAAGAAGTTAATCTTCAAAACATTATCTTTACTCTTTTTAGTTTACGTTTCTTGAAATAATAATATTATAGAATAGATTGCAAGTAATGCCAGGATAGTTAATATATAGATAATTTCACACTATATCGCCGTCCCCAAACTCATACAGCCATTAAAGGGTTAAAGTATAGATAATCACTTGTTAACGATCAAAGGCGAACACCGACAAAAACGAAATTAAACCACTTTATTATTTTTCCATTTGTAAGTTATAATTCTCAGGCACTTTATTGAGATTGTACGTATCTATAAGTACGATTTTGTAATCCTACATTAGCTACATATTTTAAAAAAGTACCTAAATAAACTATTTGTCTTCGTTTGATTGAACTTGCTCTGATTTGTGCACGGCGTTTGCAAATTGCTTTCGATAGGTTTGCCAATTGAACACATGACGTACAAAACATAGAACGTACATATACAGTACTTTGTAAACTATGGAACATATACATACATAAATTCGTGGCGATAAACAAACTTACAAATATTCCGTAAGTACAAGGCAATAGGTAATTCGTTAGCTTTAAGTACAACTGTGCTATGTACATAATACTTTTAGTTCTTATGATCTAACCCTTAAGCAAATCTACAAGTAGGTGAGTGTGCGTTTCGGTCACTGGGCCTTCTCATCCATTGCCAGTGTGATATTAAGATCCTGGGCCGCTGTATCATCTCCCAGGACCTGTTTGCTATAGCTCAGTTCGGCCGCCTGTTGCAGTGCGAAGGCAGTGGATGCGCCCGTATTGTCGACCAGTTTACGAAGGTAACCCCCAGACCTCTGCAGCAGCTCGTAGGGATGTCCCAGCTCTTTGACCTCGCCGGCATCCATAACCAGAACCCGGTCACTGTCCATTACAGTGTGCAATCGATGGGCTATTGTCAAAACAGTGCAATGCGCGAACTTGGAGCGGATGGTCTGCTGAATAAGCTTGTCGGTTCTGAAATTAAGTTTTTTTAAGTTTTAATATAAGAAAATAAACTAGTTAAATTTCTTGAAACTTACTCTGGATCAACATTGGCAGTGGCCTCATCCATTATAAGTATCTTATTGTGTCTCAGAATGGCTCTCGCCAGACACACCAACTGCCTTTGGCCTACGCTAAAGTTGGATCCGCCATCGTACATTCGACAATTGAGTCCACCAATTAAAGTAGATACATAGGAACGCAGCTCTACGTCGCCCAGTGCCTTCCACATCTCCTCATCCGAACGCTCATCCATTGGATCCAAATTGTAGCGCAATGTTCCAGAAAATAGAACTGGGTCTTGAGGAATGATTGATACTTGACTGCGCAGATCGTGCAATCCTATATGCTCAATATCCACATCATCGATGCGGATCATGCCCTCGTTGCAGGCCAAACGGAAGATGGACTGGATGATAGACGACTTTCCGGCACCAGTGCGGCCAACAATGCCAACCTTCTCGCGCGACTCAATGGTGAAGTTTAGGTCCCTTAGCACAGGTGCTTCCTGGGGTGAATAGCGCAGTTTAAAGTTGATGAACTCGATTCGTCCCTTGCTTGGCCACTCTGTCTTTGGTTTAAACTTTTCTTGCGTCTCTAGCGGCGCTTCCGAGGGCTGCTCCGTGTACTCCAGCACCCTCTCCACACTGGTCATCTGATTCTCCAATTCAGCCGTCTGTCTCATACCCCACTGACACATACCCGTCATCGTGGTGGAGTGCAGAATGGCTAATCCCACATCGCCACTATCAAACTCATTCTTTAGCAACAGGAAACTAAAGGTCACTGCTGTCATGTATACAATACATAGCATATCCGACCACAGAGCAAAAGCTCTCGTGCAGGAGAGAAAAAGAAACCAGGCGGATGTATTGGTGTTCTGGTACTCATGGAACTCCTGCTCCAGGGCGCTTTGGCCCTGCAAAGCGCGTATGGTGGTAAGGCCCTGGAAGGTTTGATTCGTCAGCGAGAAAACGGGACTGCGAGCTGGAATAAAGAGATTAGGGCTATTAAATGGGTGTATATCTTTGACGAATGCCGAAATTATAATTCACAAGTCATTTACTATTGACAAAAATGGGGCAAATAACTAAATTATCCAAAGTCACGCTTGCAAATATATAGAAATGATTTGTTTGTTTCTAATCCTAGTAAAAGTGAATGTACGTGACTATTGCTTGGAATCGTAATTTCCCATTATTTCTACTTACATATGGACTCCAACCGCTTGACACTTCGACTAGTATTCACATAAAGGTATCGTATCATGCCCAGAATTACACCAATGATAGCAGCTGGAACCAGTAGCCAATAGTTAGCAATGGCAACGATGATGACTACGCCAGATACGTCAATTATGAAGGCCAGGCAATCAAGCAGCGTGTGTGGCAGATCTGTGTCCACTGTTCGGATATCCTTCGAGAAGCGATTTAGAATTCTGCCGGAAGAGTTCGTGTTGAAGAAGTACATGCTGGCTCTGGTGATTCCCCGGAAGAGTCTATCATGCAGATGTAGTGAAATGCGCAAGCACATTTTGAAGAACCCGAAGGTGCGGATAAGGTAGACAATTAGAGTGGCGCCAAGTATAGTGGCATAGAAAAGAACTAGCTCCTGTCGAATGCTGGCCTGAAGGTCTCCCGCTAATAGAGGCGCAATAGAAGGGTCCGTCGAATTTAGTGGCAGAGTATCATTTTGGGGCATCGTATCATTTTCGTTCAATAGGGTGGTAGTACTATTAGCAGCTATTTGTTCTTCCCAAATGACCCTGGAACAAAAATTGTTTAATACAGTTACAATAAGAAAAATGTATTATAAAATATCTTACCATCTGGACAAGAAATAATCTACTCCAGTAAGCATAACCCTGGCACAGACAAACAGCGATATTATTATGCCCAGTAGGAAAGTGCTGTCCAAAGCCTTGATGTAAGAGGCGTAGACGTGCATCTTGATGGAGCCCACAGATTGCTGCTCCTGGTTGAGCTCCTCCACCTCCTCGTCTGGCCGAAGCAGCTGATTGTGCTGCTGCTCAATACTTTTCTCTGAATCGCTGCGGGACAGATAGCTGCTCATACTGTGCGTGTCGATTCCACTCTCATCATGCTGCGTCTGCTCAAGGAACTGAAACTGGCGGGAACGCTGCAGCTGCTGGTAACTGCCTTGGGCCATAATTTTTCCGGAACCCATTAGCACCAGGTGTTCCACATCAGACAGATATTGCACTTGGTGAGTGACTAAAATACGAATCTTTTTAGACAGAAAGTCGCGTATACAGCGGTCGAAGATGTGTTTGCCCACGTGGGTATCCACAGCGGAAAGTGGGTCATCCAGAAGATATATATCAGCTTTGCGATAGACTGCTCGTGCTAGACTCACTCTGGCCTTTTGCCCACCGCTGAGACTCACACCTCGCTCTCCGACAACAGTCAAGTCTCCATGGGGCAGTAACTCCATATCGCGTTCCAAGCCACAAACCTTCACCACTTTTTTGTAGCGCCTCTCATTGTAATCCTCCACAAAAACGATGTTATCGCGAATGGTTCCTTCAAAGACCCAACATTCCTGCGAAGCATACGAGATCTTGCCGTGCACCATGGCCTCACCCTTATCGATACCCACTTCGCCCAGCAGCACATGTAGAAAGCTGGACTTGCCGGCACCCACGGGTCCAACGACGGCAACTAGCGTTTGATCCTGAATATCCGTGCTAAAGTCCTCAATAGCACAGTTGGAGTGGCCATCGCTTGCATCCCATGAGGCAGATACACTTTTGAGAACCACACATTTTTTCGTTGCCTCCGGATCGTAATCCCTTAGTCGATTGTGTTGTACTTGACCGTTGGACAATAGTGATCCATTCAATTCGACGTTCTTCTGTTTGTCCTTTTTAGAGATTTTGCGCTTGGTGCTCTTGCCCGTTTGCTGATTGGCTTCCATGTTTATGGGAACCTCAGCTTTGTCCCCGTCCAGCAGGAAATCCTTGCAACGTTTCGCCGAAACAAGAGCCTCCGCAATAAACGTAATTGACATGGGCCAAAAGGTCACCATCGAATCGTTGAGCATGTTGAAATAGGATGACACTGTGTACACCTTTTGAGCGGTCAAGGGATCACCAAGATAAACGTAGGAGCACAGGGCCAGGAACACAGATAGCGGCGATATCATGGAGGTACATCCGAGAGCGGCGTGGATGTAGGCAGTGCCACGGATGGCCTTTACCTCCTTGAGGCGAACATCGGCGATGACCCGAGCGAAACTCTTCTCCCACGCATACATCTTTATTACCTGGATACCCTGGATGATCTCGTTCATTAGCTTTACGCGCATATCAGTTCGCTCCGCCGTCATTTGTCGGTAATAAGCTGCTTTCTTGGCGGCCCACGCTTGCAGCGGGATAAAGCTAAGCATGAAGGATACGCCAATCACAGCCGATACTCCAATTTCTCGGTACATAAGAAAACCGATCAGAATTGACTCCATCGGCCCCTTCCACGTATCGTGTAGAAAACAGAGTGCCACATCAAATCGTCCGAGATCGTTGGACAGGATATTAATGGCTCTTCCTCGGAGACCATCGTTACTGCTGCTTTTGGAAACCTGCAGGCACTTGCGGTATATCAGTCCCGAGAGGGCCAGCCTCAGCTTAGTGCCCACTTGAAAGATGTAAAAGATGAAGGGGTGGAATGTTATCACAGGCACCAACATGCAAATCACAATTCCCATAGCATACAGATATGCTGTCCGCTCACTGATGTCCGTCTGATTTGTGGCAAAGTAACCAACCAGACCACCCAAGAATAAAGGCATGAGAGATCTGAAAGAAAAGTAAGTCGGATTAGCATAGCCCCTGCAACAATATCAATTTCTACCTACTTGCAAATTGTTTCGCTAATGGAGAAAAGCAGACCCATGGGTAGGAAAATCTTGCCGTACGCCCTTAGGATCATTCTCACCACGCTGGGATTACTTCTTTTCAGCTCGTCGTCCCACAGCTCTGCGAATTTGTTTGTCACTCTTTCACTATCCAGGGTCTTTCTGTGCTGATACAGCTCCTCGTCCGTCAGCGGACCCTGGAGGCCACGCTTGAACAGGTCTCGCATCCACCTGAAATTATTTCGTATACAGTTAGTTAAAAAATTACGAACGATAAGATTAGATTTAAAAAAAAACATAAGCATTCCATTTGTAAGACACTCCCCCCAGTAAACTTTTTTCAATTCACTTAAGTACGAATTACCCAAAACTAAATATTTATTTAGCCTAAACTCAATTTGCAATTAAACTAGAGCAGCTTTATGGGTAATGGTTTACGATTCCATTGTAATAGTTTCACAGAAGACCTTTAAATGTTGTGATTGTGAGGGAGGTTAGATAAAAGATTTTATATGATTTCCTAGTCTTTTTTATTGGTACGTATTTAATTAGATACAGTCTATGTTATGAATACCCGAGTTTAGATGCAAGAGAAGTGTTCTTGTTGTAGGGAGCTCCTCTGATATCACATGAACAAGATTTCTTGGGAATTTCGTCATACTGACGATCTGCGAAAAACCCCAAGGCATTGTTTGATTACATATTAATCAAACACTTGTAGTTGGGTAGACACATTTGCACACACAGTGGATACTGAGTAAGAAATGGGTTTCAAATGTTAATTTCAAATGACATTTCAATAAGCAATAATTGCATTTATATGTTGCTTCACAATGTTATTCCTACCCTTTAAATTTTTTGAAAATATTTTTCCCATTCCAATAGATTATCATCCAAATAAACTTTTTATTACTTTATTTTGCATAGTATTTGTGAACATAAACTGAGATCCAAACGGGTGTTAATTGATTGGCGTTAATCGAATGAATAATGGAACGATTGGCTATTTGAATATACTTAAGACTAATTTATTTAAAACGGCTGAATTTCAGATTATTCATTATATTAACTGGTAGGTTTTAATCATAGCGATGAATTATAGTTCTTCAACTGATGCGTTTTTCTATTAAATTTCTTTAATTCAAGTGAGTACGGTAAAATCATGGAAATCTTAATTTAAAACCGTCTTGTGACTTTACTAAACTACAATTCAACTTTATTGTGTATATTCAAATAAGAAATGTCTCCCGATAGAAGCTTTTAAAACTTTAGGAGTAAATGTGGCATTGAACACTGAATCAAAATTGGTCCGTTATCAGCTCTAGTTAGACTATGAACGTTTTGTTTATTATAGAAAATCGTAATAAATCGCTAGTGCCAGATCCATCTGGTTGCAATTGGCAAGCGTTCATTGTGAACACCAGATAAAGATGTAACCTTGTGGCCAACAATGACATTTAATAAAACTGTGCCGTCCAATTTAATGGATGTTCGTTCTATTTCCCATTAAAATGAGCCTGAGAACACTATCATGCCTTGCCCAATGAACTTATCGGCTCAAACAAGCTAATATGACCAAACTAATTATATGATAGGTGCTAGCCTGATAAAAACCTGATACTACAATATGTTAAGAACACGTGCTAGCTGCACCAAGGTACAAAAGTATGATTTACCGTAAATAATGTTCTCATGACTAATGGAGGAGTGACTGCATGTCTGGCTTTAAGGTACATTTCAAGGGAAAAACTCACCAGAAGCTCCATTGTGAGAAGAAATTGGCTTTGGTGTATGGATTCTTTGGGCGCACAACCTTCCTTCTGGTGCGGTTCATAACTTTGGGATGGGTTCTGTGGTTTCTGGGATTGGAGTAAACCGTTACGGCACTGATTCACCCGCGTTTGCTTTCTCCTTTCTCCGCTCTTCCCTCTTGTTCTCTCTCCTGTCGAAATGGATGGTGAAAATCAATAATGCATAGCCGGCAACAACAAATCGGTCCGTAGTATTCCCCTTAGACAATGTAAATATATATGTACATTTATACATATATACATATATACATGCATATGTACATATAAATATGTTGTCTAGGTCGAGGTCAGCAGTGATTTATCCACCGTTATGCACATTTACCGTTTCTTGCGCCAGCAGCAGTAACAAAGAACTGGCAACTGCGTCGGAGATAAGTTGTAATCTGCTCGGGTTTTGGTTTACGTATATATTTGGTACTTGTGCTATATGCTAATTAACAGACGTCTGGCACAACGTTCAAAATTTTGTCAACACTAGGGGCTATGGGATTTACACTAACATTACGCGGAATAAGCACCCGCACGGAATAACAAAAAAAACCTACTGAGCTGGGAGAGAGAAAACGCTCAGTATTTATACTCGCACTCAAGAGGATTTGGACGTTGCCACCCAGTTACATTTATATACCCTTTAAAATGGTGGGCACGGGCATATAATGTAACTACAATATATGCCACAGTTAAAATTAAAACTTTTTATAACGTATAAAATATCGATAAGTATAGAGAGCGGATAGCTATTTTTGATAAAAAAAAAAATGTTAAATTTAAAGCTTAGTGTAGAACAATTATTTTACTGCTTGCACTTATACAACCTAAATTGTATATTACAAAATCTTTAACCCTGACTGTTTAGAAGAAAGATAGTACAAAGACATCGCCTAACTATTACGTGCCCAACTATTTAAGTCTGAAGCGGATATTTTAATTTTAATGGGTATTCCAAGGTCGGTGCGGTGGGGCATCGTTCTTTTTTGTTATTGTTTTTCTACGGCGAATAACAGTGATTTAAATCCGTTGTTTACTTTTAAAAACCCTTAGTAACGAGAGCGGGAAACTTGTAAAAAATAATCAAATAAGTTATAAAAGTGTTGATCATTAACTTGTTGAATGAAAGGTTTTTAACATCAAGCTCCATGGCAACAGACAAGGGCGTGACCAAAGGGGTCTTTGGTTCCATTCTGTCTTCATTTTATTAAAAAACGTATTTATTAGAAAAAAGGTAAAAACATTTATGAAATCATATATGTATGTATATGAATCAAGACATATCCTTAAATGGCTTAGGGGGCTACAATTTTGGTTTATTTTCATATTCCAAACATATTTTTCTTTTAGGGCCCAAAATTGTACACTCCCTATTACTACGGCCTTGTCAAGAGAGAGCCTTGCCGAGAGAGACTTTTGAGAACAGAATTAGTTACTAATTTAAAAACGAACAATTGCCCAGCGTTGTGAAATCGCTTATTAATGTTTGGGAGAACGTTCTTTCAACGGGTGGCGAAACAATCTTGTTTGGCCGAGAATTCTTGAGAAATAAAACCGAGATTGGCACCCGCCACAGAAGCGTCACAGGTGATATTGGGGGATCCATAAACCAAAGTACACATTATTTACATCTTGTACGATGAACATTTTATTGTGTTATAATTAGGGATTAGCGTTATGTTTTTGTTGATTAGTACCTCTCGTGAAAAGTATGCAAGGTTGAAAATCGAACAGGTTTTACTTAGATAATGACAAACAGCATGCCCATTTAGTCCTCGATGTACTCGAAGGGCTCTGGGGGTTCCGGCTCCTTTTCCTCGTCGTTCATGGGTCCAAAGGCAGCAACGGGCTCCACGAGCTCTTGGTCCTCGGATTTGCCGGTGTGCTGGAATACAATAATTCCGCCGATGGTTACATCTTTAAGCGGCTCATAAGATTGCCCATCTATAACGCTAAGGACCTTCAGTTGCTGTCGAAGCACACGAGCGGGATTTTGCAGGATTTCGGAGGTGGGCTCTGGCTCCTTCTTTTCTTTTTTCTCCTTCTCCTTATCCTTTTCGCTGCTGGTACCAGCCACCTCCTTTTCCTCATCTTTCTTTTTTTCCTTCTCCTCTTTCTTCTTAGGCTTCTCCTCCGTAGCGGGCTTTTCGTCGGTCTTGGTTTCTTCGTCCTTCTTGACTGCAGCACCCTCCTTGCTATCCTCGTCAACATCCATCTTCTCGTCCTCCTTTTTGTCAGCATTCTCACGCCTCTTCTGGCGGGCTGCAATGGAAAGAACGGCGGTGGCAACCTTTTCGCGCTCCTCGCTCTTCTTTTCTTCCAAAGGCGCAGGATAGGCGTACAGTGAAGGCTTGGCCGCTGACTTGTACTCCATCTTGGGCATCTTCAGGTCGGAATTCAGACCAATCACACATGTAGGTGTAAAGGCAAGCGATAGAGTATGAGCCAGAGGGAACCAGTACCAGTACTGGGTGAAGGCCAGCATACCGACCACTGCCTGCAGATTAGTGTGTCCTGTACGGGATTGCAGGGACAAAGTGGCATTCCTACCACCGGCATCAATAATACCTAAAAAAAGTTTAAATTAGGATTAGGATTAGGAAGAACTTCGAAAAGAAATAAAAAGCTTAATAAATAAACCGGGAAATGGATCATGAATTTTAAAAGTTTTGTAGACCACAGGAATAATTAGAAAATGTACCAAGTTTTAGCATTTGGGTTATTAACCAATATATCACTTTTGGTAAACACTTATTTCATCACGAAGTTAAGCGTGATCACGCCAGGTAGAGCAATAATATACAAGTCATGTAAATTTATTTTTTAATTGTTTGTCCCATTTTTAAAGTTGCACGTTAATTTTAAATTTATATATTTATAGACAAAGTAAGCTACAACTCAAAAATTTAGTTTTAATGCAATGATAAGCACTTATTAAGAAACCGGTACGATTTGGTACAAACCATGTTTTCAAATGAACTGAGAATGTGAGTTTGAGAGTTTCCTAGACAAAACAATTTAAAAACTGTCCCACACCATTAAGATATTTAATCTAAGCAATACAAGGGATCGGATTTCGATTATGCTTACCCTGAGCGAGAATAGCGCCATACTTAGCCATCACATCTTCGTGCTTGTTGCTAATAACCTCAGCATACAGCTGGCGGAAGAAGGTGGACTTCGGACAGCTTTGATCAGTGTGCTGGATCAATATCATGGCTGAGGCGATGAGGGCTCCCTGACGCACAAAATTGACCGGATCGAACTTTACCATTGGCTCCAGAAGGGCGATGGCCTCACGCAGTCCTGTGCCGGCACAGGCGATACCTAGCGCCATTGCGGCTCCATAACGAACGTGCGGGTTGTAGGACTCTGCCAGCAGACTCACGACAGATGGACATTGCTCCGGAGTACGGAACAAGATGAAACCAATAGCAGTGACGGCAGCTCTTCGCACATCATCATTCACGTCGGAGACAGCAACGTGGAGTAGTTTACGGATGGCTTTGTTGCTACCAGTTCCATTATAAGCCATAGCTATGGTATACATTCCAGAGCGACGCAAAACCGGGTCCTTGTCCGTGGACAGGCTGGTCACCAAGGGGTCAGCCTCCTCCAAACGCGAAAACATAGTGAGGGAGATGCCTACGGCCAGGCCGCGTAGGATCTTCTCGTGCTGCGTCTCCTGGGCATACGACACCATGTCCTCGATGGCCTGAGCGTTCTTCGAGCCCAACATGACCATGCCCATGGCAATTCCCGCCGCCTCTCCAGTGACCGCGTCATCCTGGTACAGATTGAATTTCAGCTGCTCGTAGAGATCCTGTCGATGGGTGCCCATGCCAGCGAGACCAAGTCCCAAGCAGCCACCATGACGCACATTCTCGTTCTGGGCATCCTTTAGCTGTTGTAGCAGGTAGTCTATAATGTTAGCCCCGTGATTTGCGTGGATCAAGCCTAACGCATACAGGGCACCACCCTCGGAGTAACCAGAACTGGGACCAGCCTCCTTGGGCAGGTAGCTCTGCATGAGAGCCAATGAGTCCTTTTCGTGTCCACGGTGGATAACTCCAAGCGAGGCGGTTGCCGTAAGCTTGGCCCAATTCGTTGCCCTTGCCAGCCAGTCGAGGTTGTCGCGCAGGAACTGGTCAGAGGTGGTTCCACTGTGCATGAAAGCGTTGGCAATAACAGTGGCTGTGTGGCAGATGGATACCCTGACCGCCTCCTTTGTGCCTCGTAGAACCTGCAAGTCAGCATGGTTGCTGCGGATGAGGAACTGAAGCTGCAGGTCGATGGAAACCTCGCCGGAGAGGATCGATATCAGCTTTTCAATGTTCTTCTGATGAAGCTTCTCAACCTCGTTAAGCGAATCAATTGTGCGCTCCACCTTGTCATCGCCTACGTAGTTAATATGATTTAAAGGTGTTCTTATTGGCTTAAAAAGGACACTTACCTTGCTTTTCTTCTGTGATGTCCTCGTCAGGCTTGGATTTGTCCCCCTCAGACTTAGCCCCTTCCTCGGAGCTCGTGCCCTGGGGCTTGAATGTGCTGGGCAGGGCGGTTGGAATAGGAGCTGTATTTTTTAAGTGCTGCAGCACATTCCCTAGAAATTCCTGCGTTGCCGACTCGTACAAGTCAAAAGCAATCTGATACGCCATCAGATTGTTTGTCTCCACAGAAGAACGTGTGAGGGTGTCCAGCATCTCGGCCACGGCATACGGGTCCTCCAGGAAGATGAGGCACTGGCACATGTTCACATAGTCGGGAACACCCAAATCCCGGTACAGACTTACCAGGCACCGTAGCACTTCATTCCGGAAGCCACGGTTCTGAATTAGAGACATGGTCACGTTGTAAGCGTAGGCCAGCATGCCACGAACGTCGTCCGACTTCATGATGGCGTCCTTGAAAGTGTCCATACGACGGGTCTCCAAGGCAATACCTAGCGCTTGACGAAACTGGTTGTCGTCCAGACAACGCTGAATCATCCTATTCACAATCCCCTCTAGCCGCTCGTCCACAGAACTCGCTTCCTTGGGATTCTCTATAAACTCCACTCGCTGGGCGATGTAAAAATCAATACACTTGGCAATAATCGTCTCTGTGTACTCATTCCTGGCATTCACGTCGAAGAGATCGCCTGCGCCCAGGGCGTAGGTTAGAGCGTCCTCGAAGGAACCCAAGTGATAGAACACCTTGGAGGCCACCATGCCAGCTAGCTTGTTTTCGGGGAAGCTGCGGTCTTCATGCAGCATCTCAATCTTCTCGATGGACTCCGAGATCTCTGGCCAAAACTCGTCCACGATGTTGTCCAACTTTTTTAGGGCGAACACCTTGAGATCCGGCATCGGCTCATCGAGTAGGGAAATAATCCCCGCGGCGGACGTAAGACTCATTTTCCAGCTGCGTTGTTTCCAGTCAAAAATATGTTCTACGGATTTCAAAATGACATATGTTATACCCAGTACTCAAATCGTTCTAAATAGTATGAAATACGGACGATCTTTTGCGAACTAACCAACAATTGCACCGATTCAATTTCAATTTTTCTTTTGTGCCGAAAAAAATGCTAAATCACTCGAATAAGCAGACAGTGTGACCTTGTTGGCGAAGCTGTGAAACACCTCGGAAATAGTGTTGGAAACTAGTGTTCAGCTAACAGGTTATTTACTTTAAAAATAGGTAAATTGCAAGTAAAATATTCATTAAATTTAAAAGCATATATGGATTAAATGAATAGTATAAACTTAAACATAATAAAGATTTGATGTAAATACGTTGATTCACATTCTTTTAGTGAAAGCTAAAATAGTGAAAGCTTTATTGCCGTTTTTAAAATGTAGGAATTTGTTATAGTTTTTAAGACTACAAGAAATTGCACCATAACATCACAACTACAATATTATTATAAAGTCGCTGTCGTAACAAGACGTACTTGGTCAACTATAAATTCTTAAAAATAAGGTATTTAAATTTGTTTTTTTTTATTACATTTTTTTACATTTAAACTAATTTATTAAAATATAAAAATACAACAACATTTTTAAATTTGTTTTTTTTTATTACATTTTTTTACATTTAAACTAATTTATTAAAACATAAAAATACAACAACATTTTTATATTTTAATAAATTAGTTTAAATGTAAAAAAATGTTAATAAAAAAACAATTTTAAATACCTTATTTTTAAGAATTTATAGTTGACCAAGTACGTCTTGTTACGACAGCGATTTCACTATAGTTCACCTGGGCACACTTCGCATCGCATCACAACAAAAAACGCGCGAAGGTTCGGGCAGAACGCAAAACATACCCGTGATAACATCCTCGTCTGCGACTTAACGCATACTTCACCTCACAGTAAACCCTCGGAACACACGCGCACAAATATGCTTTTTGAGGATCAACATATGTCCGTGGACAACACACCGCAAAAGGGCTCCGGCAGCCTGAATTCTTCGGCTTCGTCCATATCGATCGATGTGAAGCCCACAATGCAAAGCTGGGCCCAGGAGGTGCGGGCTGAGTTTGGCCACAGCGACGAGGTAAGTGAAAACTACTAGCTGCCTTAGGGATCCCTTTCACAGCAGTTACTTTTCCGTATAGGCCTCCAGTTCCCTAAATAGCAGCGCTGCCAGCTGCGGCTCCTTGGTCAAAAAGGAACCGACGGAAATTAAACTGGAGCCCAATGAAGCAGAGGGGCGGGAGATGGCCTTCGAGTTTCTGGACGGTGTCAACGAGGTTAAGTTCGAGCGACTGGTCAAGGAGGAGAAGCTGAAGACTCCCTACAAGCGCCGCCACTCGCAAACGCCGCCCAGCAACGAGAACAGCCGATCCAACAGTCCAAACAGCAGCAACTCATCAGCCAATGGAGATGGGGCTGCCACGAAAGGTGGCGATAGCCAACGTCCCTGGAAGCAAAACAAATCCAGCAACTTCCGTGGCCACAAGGAGGAAAAGCGGGTGCGCCACAACAGCTATACATCCTCCACCTCTTCCTCCTCGTCATACACCGAATCCGATCCCGCCGTTTTAGCCCGTCGTCAAAAGCAAATAGACTATGGCAAGAATACGGCTGCCTACGAGAGATATGTGGATATGGTTCCGAAGACTGAACGGGCCCGTGAGCACCCCCGCACACCGAATAAGTATGGCAAGTACAGCCGACGCGCCTTCGATGGTCTCGTAAAGATCTGGCGCAAGAGTCTGCACTTCTATGATCCGCCCTCTCAGCCAAATGCCACGGCTAACGACTCCAATTCCGACTCAGACTCGGACTAGAATCTTGTTATCGGGCCGGGAAACGTTTTTCAAATATAAATTGGGGGTTTACATACTTATTATCAGTCTAAGTACAAATTTGAACTAACTAAATCTATGAATCAAACACGCATTTTAAAGTTACAAGGTCGTGTGCAGAAAATTGTTACCACAGATGTTTTGTTAAATAAAATGGCGTCTTACAACATCTTGGGTTTCACCTTTTGCTACCTGAGAAGGTCCTGGAATTTTAGCAAATTTTCCACAGCGCTTGTCATTGTTGAAGAGTGAGTTGCGTGGAAGCAGGACTTCCGAAATGTGGAATTGGAAAAACGGAATATCCTTCAAGGTTATGGACATTGATTTAAGTTAGGATTCCATTTCGTTGAGACTATTCCTATTTATAAAATGATTTTGTAGTCATGAGGGAATACATTCTCAGATATTTGTATAATAAACTAGTATACTATGAATAAGTCTACTTATTAAGTAAGTCAAAAATGAGGTTAAGACTTATTCACTTCAAAATTCAATTAACAATCCACATTTATAAATACAGGGTAATAAAAATCCATTTTTCGGAAATTCCACAAAGGGGTACCTTATGAAATGTACCTACAGAAAAATTATTAGTATAGCATTCAGCTTTAAAATGCACATCTTAGCAAAGCTAGAAAATCTATAATGCACTATTGCTTTCATTAAAACATGATTTTTTAATCAATATAATAAATAGTTCACAATGCGTAATGGAATCCCATTAATATTATAATTTACCCAAACGTGGCTACAAAATAGCTAAACTGTCACCTCCGCTGTCCAGTTGTTTGTTTTCACTGTGGCATGTGCCAATTTAGACCATTCTTACAATTTCTTCAGTGCACACCTCCGCCTAAACCAACGGACAGATGTTTCTAAAGCCGTACAGACCAAAGAGCAGTGCTGCCCTAAAGGGATCTGATAGCAAGAAGTTCCGACAGCGAGTGGAGGCGGCGTTTCCCCATGTTTCTGTTGATCAGCTTGTGCCGGCTAAGGCTGCGGTGACCCAGGTGAAGATACTCACCCACGGTGGAGTCCAAAGCACGGTATACTGCGTTGACAAGCTGCCCTTGTTTTTTGAGCTAGACGGCGGGCAACTGGTTCCAACGCTGTACACCCTGTGGTCTATTCCGGACATCCTTCCCTATTTCACCACTCATGAAGGGGTGCTGCCGAAGCTCACGAACGGAGCAGATCTCATGCTTCCCGGAGTGGTTCCTCTAGGCGTGGGATTAAACATGTATGGACACTACAAGAAGGGACAGTTAAGTATGTATCTAATCTATATTGAGTTGGTGGATAATAAAAGGCATATTATTAATTTTTAGTGGCTGTTAACCTTACCAATAACAAATCTGCGGTGGGTTTGGGCCAGTTGGCACGTTCCAGTGATGAATTGTATATGTGTGGAGGTCACGGAGTGGCAATCAAGATGCTCCATCTTTTTGGCGACAAGCTCTGGTCACACGAACCCAGCTTAGTGCAACAAATCCCGCTGGTGAAGACAAAGGCATTGTCGGGAGAAGATTTTCCTGCCCTTGGTTCTGAGATGGAAAGGAAAAAGACTGCCAATCCTGCTGCTACACCTCCTGTAACCTTTGCTTCTATAACTCAGACAGAGGAACTTAATACAGACACTGCTGCTCTGAGCTTAGAAAACCCGGAAACCCCCGATTCAAATGACGAAGAGGAGATGGTTGCTTCACCAGAACAGATTCTCAAGAATGCCTTTTTGTCTGCCCTGAAGAACAATGGAAAAAAACTACCTCTGCCGCTGTTGACCAGTAACTTCTATAGACTCTATGTGGTCACAGAATCTGCGGAGCAAATCGACTTAAAGAAGACACGCTATAAGAAGCTTTCAAATTTTCTTGCTGAGATGGTGGATCAGGGATTCATTGTGGTGCGAGAGGAGAGCAAAGGTGTGGATAAGATAATATCTGTGGATCTAGAACACCCGGAAGTTGTGAACTTCATAACCGATGTTAAGGCGAACGAAGCAAATGGTGCGGCGTCCGAGACGCCTCTCTTCCACTCCGAACTGAAGGAGATGTACATAGTGACTGATGTGACGGCGGCCTTTTTTACCAAATTGAATTTCAAGCGCGGAGAGGGGATTCCCGCTGGTCAGATCAAGAAGATTGTACGAGAATATGTGAGCAAGCATGGACTTTTGCATCCGCTAACAAAGTTGGTTCGCCCGGACGAAACTTTAATTGAGTTGTATGGCAACAGAGAAGCCTCGCTTAGCGAGATGTGCTCCCTAATCACCAGTAAGATGGAGCATTCCTACCAGATGTGTAGCGGTAAGGACACGAGCGGCAAGCCTCTCATCCAGATGTCATTGGCAACGCGCTCCGGCAACAAAAAGGTGACGTTAGTGAGCAACATCGAGGCGTACGGCATTATCCTTGCCGAATTCATCAAGTTGTGCAAACAAGGAGCAGCCGCCAGCACTAGTGTGGTGAAACTCCCTCATCAGAAGCACGAGCAGCTGCAAATCCAAGGCAACCAGGTGCGATTTGTGCACACACTGCTTACTGAAACCTACAAGGTGCCCCCTAAATGCATTCTGGGCCTGGAACTGGCCAAGGATGGCAAGAAGAATAAGAAAAAGTGAACCAGATAATAAAGGAATCATATGCCTGTCCTCTGAGTGTAATAATAAATTATTTATTAACTGTAGTGGGGATGAACCAATTACTGCTACGCGAACAACAACAACGAATGGGATTGGCTATATCTTGAACAGAAGCGTAATCAGAATGCTCTGACTTGTGCTGGATTTGTGTGGATTCTCAGATGGTCTAGCCTCTGTGCTTACTTGGCCTTGCCCTGGGCAGCAACAGCCTCGATGGCCTTCTTTACGGTTTCCTCGTCTCCAAGGAACTGCATGGACACCACTGGCTTGAAGTTCTCGTCCAGCTCGTAGACGAACGGAATGCCCGTGGGCAGATTCAGGGCCATGATGGCGTCTTCAGAGAGATCTAGAAAGTGAAAATGGGAATCCTTGTTATGATATATTGCATTTATAAGAATGTAAGATCATAAAGGATTTAATTAAAGAGTTAAAATATTTCTTGTTCCTTCTACAAATTCCAAAGCAAAAAAAAAGAGTTCTAAAAATATCATTTGGTTGCTAGCATATATATGAAAAAACCGTATGCATGTCACAGATTTAATATTAATGGAAAATAACAAGAAATTACAAAACAATTTACTAATATGTATATAAACTTTTTATACTCACTGTCTAAATGCTTGACGATGCCGCGGAGGCTGTTGCCGTGGGCAGCGATCAGGATGCGCTTGCCCTCCTTCATTTGTGGAATGATGACGTCGTTCCAGTAGGGCAGTGTGCGCTCGATGGTCAACTTCAGGGACTCGAACTGGGGGAACTCCTCGGGCTTTGGTCCATCAGCGTAGCGGGCATCCTTAACGATGTTGTCGTAGTAGGGATGTCCGGGCTCCATCGGTGGTGGAGGAGTGTCGAAGCTGCGACGCCAGATTTGGACCTGGGCCTCGCCGTACTTGGCAGCGGTCTCAGCTTTGTTCAGACCGGTCAGTCCACCGTAGTGACGCTCGTTCAAGCGCCAGGTCTTCTGGATGGGGATCTCCTTATGACCACTGGCCTTCAGGATGCTAGCCAGAGTCACCTGAGCGCGGGTCAGCACCGAGGTGTGGGCCACATCGAATTCCAGACCGGCCTCTTTGACAGCCTTGCCGGCAGCTAGAGCTTCCTCCTGACCTGTTTGAAGATTTATAATATTAAGTATACGCCGTGTTGGGTAACTACAGGCGGGATTCCATAATTTAAACAAATTTAAACGAATTACGAACAATAATTTCTGAAGAGCATGATAACCTTTTTTTAGGGGCTCATAAAAATAAAATCATAATTTTAACTCATGAATTAATAGAGATAAGAAAATGTTAAGTGGTTGGAATATTTGACTTTGAAGCATTTTATTGATTTTTACCGAAATAATATTGTATTATTACAGCAACTTTTGTGTTGACTGTTAACTGGAAAATTTGTATAATTAAAAAAAATATTTTATCACAGGAAACTTTGCGTTTTTATGAAATCAACAATAGGTCAAAATTAAATTGGATTAAGGTAAGGATATTTCAATGATAAAAAAGCGTCCGTTAAACTGATAATTGCTATTATTGTCCAAAGTCGGACATACATAAATATGCGTATTTAAGACTTCTGACCAAAAATAGTATAAATTGCGGAAGTGGGACTGCATTGATGTAATCGCCTTACCCTTTTCGCTGAGATTGGCGTCGTACCATCCGCAGAATTGATTCTTCTGGTTCCACTCGGACTCGCCGTGGCGCACCATCACAATCTTGTACTTGCCGCCCATGTTAGCTGTATTAATTATTTTACGGATAATTGTGTACTCTTGAGCCGACCGCCCTCAACTGCAATATGTGAGAATTTCAGCTAAAGTTTGACCTACAAGGGAGCCGTCCAAGGTCGCAGATGTCAGGGTATAGTATTGCCATTTCGGTTGAAAAAGAAAACCCTGATACAATCAGGTCTTATTGGACTTAGTATCTGGTCTTATTAGAGCTCGCGTTCACATTCTATTTGCAACAGGTTAGCATCTCCTGCAAACGTTATCGCTTGCTTTTGCCACCTCTAATTGTGTGTTTTGATTTTTTTAGCACAAAAACATTTTTTGAATTATCTTCCACACATTTATTTGTCCCAGAATAAAAAAAACAATGTGCGAAAAGGTCACCGCCAGATGTACTTGGCCTCAAATGGCCGGAAACGCTCTAGACCAACTAGTGGCCACCCGATTGTCTGATGAAGATGTCTTTGTAAAGTGAGACAAAGGATTCCACGCCCAAAAACTGGTTTTTACCTAGTGACGTTAAATACTCCTTTGTCCCCAGGCCTGATTTAAACGATGTAATTAATGAGGATCGCGCCGTACTTTTTTCAATGCAAACTGCCGACCCAGCGACACCTTGTGAGCTGAGGTTCCAAATCCAGTCCCGCTTCAAAATCGCAGCTCTTACACTGATTTGCAGTGCTCCCAGGGTGGAGCTGTTCATTGGACCCTTGCAGGAATACTGCGAAACTATCTACGGAATTGCCGTCGATGAGGAGGATGCGGAAGTTCCGGTTCGACCCTATCGCTATGACATGGAAATCGACCGATCCGGGATTAATGACATAAATCTGAAGATGCTCACCTCAGCGAGCGAGATATGTGTTTATGGAGCCCTGCTGCAGGTAGCACCGAACCCCAATGGCATAACCACGCAGTTGCCCAGGCCAATGGATCCGCAAAGAATCCAGGAACTGCTGCAAAAGGGGGGACCTAGTCCATCAAGCAAGGAGGAGCAGGCCGAGAAGTTTCAGCAATTCATGACTCTGATGAAGGGCTGTTCCCCAAAAACGGAGGTGAAAGTCCAGGACGCCGTTCCAACCACTGATGTAGCAGTTCTTAAGGAACACATAGACATGAGATTTGAAAAGCTCGCCCAGTTAGTGGCCGAAAGACTGGACACTTTTGAGGCCCAACAGACGGATAAGCTTAACAAAATAATTGCTCTGCTTGAAAAAGAAAAATAATTTAATCTCATTTGTAACCATTTGTATCATTCATAATTTTACTCCGTAATTGTTATAAGACTGTTGGTGCGACACTTTCGAATGTGATGAAACAATATTATTCTATTTGTGTTTGGTTTTTAAATTTAATAAACATAAGTTTTCTTAAATCGAAAACTTTTTTTTGATTTATTATGTTTGTTTACATTTCAATTTTAGTTCGATATTCTAAAAACGGCTGTGCTACCGATGACATTTATCGATAACCACCTGATGGCTTTATTTACGTTTTGTATGGCCAAAAAGAAAGTTGGCTAGAAAGCTCGCTATGGCTTAGATCAGAGGTTAAAGTTGGTGGGAGACGTCGCCTTTTATAATTTAGTCCCATGAATTTGTCCACCCGTGCTGTTTTGGCCATTGGCGGCGTCTTTCTGGGGTGCTGCAGTGGCGTTGTTTTCCTGGAGCTCTTGGTAAAACTCGACCCCGGCGCTGGAAACCTGATAACTGCAGCCCAGTTTGCTTTTATTTCCCTGGAGGGCTTCATTTTCACCTCGAGGTTTGGATTGGCTAAGCGCGTCATCAGCCTGAAGGACTATGCACTCCTGGTGGCTATGTTCTTCCTGACAAGCGTGTGCAACAACTACGTGTTCCAGTTCAATGTCCCAATGACACTACACATGATAATCCGTGGCGGATCCCTCATCACGAATATGTGCTTGGGCACAATGATCCTAAAAAGAAGCTACCGGCTGAGTCAGTACATATCCGTGGTCATGATCAGCGTGGGGATTTTCATCTGCACCTACTTTTCAAGCCCGGATTTGGGTGATAAGGAGAATACAAATAGTACGGAGAGTGATATATTCTGGTGGCTAGTGGGCGTGCTTCTCCTGGTAGTGGCTCTGTTTGTCTCCTCCTACATGGGCGTAACACAGGAATTGCTATATAGACGTCATGGAAAGTGTGCGAGGGAAGCCTTATATTACACCCACCTTTTGCCTCTTCCCGCCTTTCTGCTTATGCAAGAAAACATACGGACGCACTGGATCCAGGCCTTTGCGGGAGAGTCCTACCAGTTACCCCTTCTGGGCGTGACAGTGCCCTTATTACTACTTTACTTATTAGGCAATGTGTTGGCTCAGCACCTGTGCATCAGTTCCGTTTACACTCTGACTACGGAATGCAGCTCGCTAACGGTTACTCTGATCTTAACACTCCGCAAGTTCATCTCGCTGATGTTTTCTATATTATACTTTCGGAATCCCTTTACTGCATACCACTGGCTGGGCACAGTGCTAGTCTTTGTTGGCACCTTAATGTTTGCTGATGTCATCAAAGTTCCCAAAAGAGGATCTCAGGCTGTGAAACAGGAATAGAAAAAAATGACTTGTGACGAACAATATTATAATTCCATTTACATTTACATTTAAGTACAAATTAAAATTACAAGACTCTCATAATTGTTATGAAAAGAAGGCATACATTAAAATTAATGAAAAACGCGATGCTCTGGACGATCTGCCAAGGGCTTTATCTCTTTGGCGACACTGAATTTGTAAAACACGTTACATAAATACTAAATATAAATGCATTGGTATTGGGGGCCCAACCTATGCAGTTGCAGCTGCGGATATTAATACTGCTGCAGTCTTGATCCAGTCAAGCCGCAGGATCCTTCCTTACGCCCGCGCCTCGTTTTCCAGCCACTTAACGATCGATTTGTAGTTCTTGTTCATCCAGTCAACACTGGTCTCGATCTGTTCTACTATCTGTTGGATGGGCCTATCGTAGTCCCACTGGGCATCCTTTACAAAGTTTTCAAACTCGCCGAGCTGGAACTTTGAGTTGAACCGCTTTGTGGCGAACTTAAACAGCGTGTGAATATTGGACATCTGTGAACCCATACTGGAAAAGAGAAGGAGTCTTCAATATTAGCTGGGAACAAGTGATGATTTTGGCACTTACTATGTTTTGATCTCCTGCCAGTTGTTGCGTAGAAAATCAAAAGCAATGTTTTGGCCCACAACCGTATTGGAAACTGCGGCAAATACCCGAAACAAATCTTGTTTTCGAATATGTTGTCCGGCAATTCCACGACGCAGGAAGCGGTAGAGCAACCAGGGCTCTTTTGAGCAGCCGAGGGCACTCAACAGCAGGTCCTTCTCCCCAGGCACGTTCGTCTTCAGGAATCGCTCGAAGGCAAAGTCCCATTCGTACTCAGTGCCGTATTGTATGGCCGAACAGTAAACGACTCCCCTGAGATTTGGCACAATTCTGTAAAAGAAATAATGGGTTCATCAGAAGTAAGACCCCATTAATCTGTAATGTAATTTCTTACGGATTGTTTGAATCGGGATTTGGCGTCTGTACCCAGTTCTGGAAGTGCCTGCTGGCCTCAGAGATGCACTCCTGGTGACCCAGATGGCAAGCCGTTCCCAAAATATCTGCGCGTTTGAGCTTCACTAAAATATCTTCCGACTCACCCTGTGAGTCCTCGAATCCTACCTGGTCGTAGACCTTCTTCAGCTGCTTAAGTAGATAGTTCTGCGAAAAAGATTGTATTTTATGAGAATGAAAACATAACTATTCCTTTAAACAAACCTTTAGCAGATCATAGTCGCCGGAGTTTACGAACATGGAGTCGATGAAAATGAAGTTGCTAATGGCCGCCTTCCACGGCACATGACCTAGCTCATGTCCCAGGTAGCGCGTTAGATTCATGGCGGTTTCATATGATAGATAAGAACCCCTGGCCAAATTCATCACATCATCAATCAACTGAGCACGATTCGCTGGAGCAATATCCTCGAAGTGCTGAACATCCAATAAGTGTCCGGTGATTGCTCTCCAGTTATCTAAATCGTAGTTTACTCGATAGTAGCCAGTCTGTTGGACATTGAAGATAAACCATTTGGCTGTAGAAAGGTTCCTATTCTCCAGTTCATAAAGTTTAGTGCGGGGCATCCATGTGGTTGGCCGAGTGTTGTCAAAGTTTAGTTCCGAGGCAGTGGTAAAAGTAATGGGTATCCACCAGAGCAGACTCTCGTCCTCTCTAGTTGTGTTGGTGTATACAAAGCGAACCTGCTCCAGTCGAATTACATTCGAGTTGGGATGTTTCGATACCTTGACCACCGGATAGCCCGTTTGCAGGGTCCAAGTGTCCATGATCTCCTTTACACTTCTACTGTGATCGAGCAGTCCAGAAGACTTTGCTTCGTTAGTGAGAAAACGCCACAAATCATCCTGTGTTGCCGAGTTATAAGCCCTGAAAATATTTCATTTAAAATTGATTCGTAAATCACAAAAGAATATCTAGGCTTACATTTCCTGAAGGTATTTGCTAAGACCACGACGGAAAACTGGATTCGTGAGGAAGTGGGCCATCATGCGAATAATAGTCGATCCCTTGGCATAAGAAATTCGATCAAATATCTCGGAGATCTCCTGCGGGTTGAATACTTGGTGGGAGATCTTGTGAGATGTGGAGAGGGCATCAAGTTGGAATACTGTTTGCAGCTCATTCACCACGAACTGGTCCAACTGCTTCCACTCCGGCGCGACTGCGTCGGCCGTAAGGTACTCCATATAGCTAGCGAATCCTTCATTCAACCAAATATCCGACCACCAACTGGGCGTAACCAGGTTTCCGAACCACTGGTGGGCCAACTCGTGACCCACAACAGATGCCACACGCTGTTTATTATTAGCCGTAGCCACTCCTGGGTCATACAGCATGGCTGTCTCCCTAAAAGTAATGAGACCCCAGTTCTCCATAGCACCCGCCTGAAACTCTGGCAAAGCAATCATATCAATCTTCGGCAGGGGAAACGTCACATTAAAGAAGTCCTGAAGGAATGTCAATATCCTGGGTCCCACAGACAACGCGTACTCTGCTGATTTGATTGCATCTGCCCGAGCCCATACGGAGAAATTGCCAGAGGAAATGTGCGTGAAGTCGGATATGGCATAGGCTACCAGATAAGTTGACATCGGCAGCGATTCAGCAAAGTGATCCCATACATAGCTAGGCATGGTGGCACTGAGGGGTAATGATATTACTTTTAATTAAATATCTTTATAAGGACATAAAAGCAATACATACTGATCGTTGCTGGAGGCAATGGGCATGTTAGACACGGTGGTCATGTTTCGAGGTCGAGCGATGTGCAGAGTAAAGTTGGCCTTAAGAGCCGGCTCATCAAAGCAGGGAAAAGCCCGACGGGCATCCGTCGCCTGGAACTGTGTTGAAGCTACCCACCTGGAAGGTAATAAGTTAGAGTAAACTATGGTTTAGCTTATAAGTTATAGCCAATCTCACCTGGTCTCATTATGTACTTCATAAGAGCTGCGATAAAATCCTTGTAGGTAGTCCTCAATTATTCCGTCGAAACGAAGATGCACCACGTACTCCACGTCTTTTAGCAATTTGTCATAAAGCTCAATGACGAAGAACTGTTTGGCTCCAACCAAATACTGTTTATGAATTCGCAAACTGTCTCCATCCAGTCCCCCATCCGGCAGCACGCGTCGGACACTGATGTCGCTACGTGAAATGTTTAGCTCCTCTGCATGCATGGTGATGTTGTAGCAATCCTCCAGGACCTTTATTCTGATCTGAACACTACCAGCAAATGAGAAGTTACCATTGAGTTGCGGTTCCAGCGTGATGTTATATTTTAGTGGGCGGATGGAGCGCGGGAGACGGACATCTCGATCATATTTTGGTGCTCCATCCTGACCACCCTTAAGCTTCCTCAGATGGACACTGGTGCAAACGATATCCTCGTCTGATGCCGGCTCCAGTTCAGCACAGGTGGCGAAGTTGTAGACGATGAAACCTACAGCCAGTAACGTGCAGATGAAAAAAGAAGCCAGAAGGATTGCCGTGGTCAGGGATAGACTATAGCGTCGCCCTACTCGCGAAAAAGTGGTAGTAGTGGTTGGTGTTGCGGCATTTGTGGATCGGTTCTCCATACTCAAATTCTCGTGAAGCGGAATCTCCTTGACGACCATGTTGGCTGCAAATAAAGGCTAATAATAAAAATTATAGCTTTAAATTATTAACAAACAAAAAATTTAGATTATTAAATAAACTGATTATTATCTCATAGCATAATAGGGCAATCGTTTTGTCCTTCTCCGATTTCTTAAACAGGAAGAAGGATCTGAGCAGACCACTTCCACATCCACTTCCGCTGAAGCATTTAATATAGGCCTTAGTAATATAATATCCAACTGCAGGTTGCTCATTTTGCAATCTCGGGGTTCCACTTAAGTGGTTTCTCTGTCCTCGGGCCAACCCCTTGGCTATCTGGTGTTCCGATTAAATTGCGTAAATTGTGCATGAGCCCTGTCCTTGTGGATGTTGAGGGAAGCCACAGGAAGGGGCTTTCGAAAAGAGTTTTCGAGTAGGAAATTACTTAGTTTACGTCTCGGGTGGTCGTAACTAATTCATTAGCTCATCATCAGTGGGGAAAAGTAATGTATGGTTAACGACGAGAAGCAAAAAATTATTGTACATGTAATTTCCGAATGAGATATTATTCAATACGATGTCTAAGTATACAAATATACAAATATACAAATATACAAAGACGCCGTTACACTATACTTAACCAAAATGTGTGAATTCCAAATTATATTTAATTTAAAAACACTTTCAAGAATGTTATATACCCAATATAATATTGAACATAAAGACGGGAAAATATTACTGGCTGGCTTACGGGTTGACTTGAATTCTAGCTTTTGTTAAGCACACTTAAGTCACCTGGCTGGTTTTTTATGGGGTCTACATGCATCTGGTTAGACAGGAAGGGGGTGTTTCCCACTGTCGGTGTCATCGAAAATAATATATTAAAATTCACGATATTTCCCAGTTAGAAGTTGGAGTTAGAATGTGGTTGTAGAAGAACGCGACGGTTATTCCAAATCATCAAATCAAAGTAAGGTGAGGTTTTATAGTATAAATTGTATAATATAAACATACATAAGCACGCGCACAGTTGAGGTCACAATTATGATGCTTTCGCAATAAATTTTACTAGAAAAAGAACTCAGGTGTTAATTAATTGTTGGACGTTAATAAGTATAAAACTATAGAAAGTAAGTATTTCCTTAATTGAGTTGAAATAAAACAAACACATAAAAGAGCATTTCGACTATATAAAATTAACTTACGATCAAAGACAATGAATTCTAATATTCTGATAACACCTGTCCAATAGAAGATGTTCTTATCAAGATGTCAATGGCCTTCGGGCTACTTTATACTAAAAGCTAATTTCTTTTCGCGAGTCTTACAGATTGTAGCTCAACTGAGAGTCTGCATATGGAGCAGCTGAATTATCAATTGGCAAAAGTTTAAGCACAAATTGAGCAGACAACAACATTGTCGTAAATCAACTTATATATTCATGCAAATACGTCCGTCGGCTAATTGAGTTATGGCATTAATTTGATCAGCTTCTGCTGAAGCCTCCAGTTGGATCACCCTGCTCTGTCTCCTTCGGCTGATGCTGCTGCTGTTTTTGCAAATTGCTGCAATTAAACGCCGACAACTATGTACAGATGTCAACCCCGACGCTGGCACGATGACCTTCATTAAAATAAGGCTGCAAATGATACGATACCACCATCCGCCCACTCCACCCAATCCGACCCCGGGGTCCCTTTGCCGCTCGTTGGGGATCCAATTTATAGCCATATTTCATTGATAAACTGCGTGTAAGCCACTGGCGATGTGTCAGCAAATCGCCATATGGATATGAATAAAGCTTGTACACTTTAAATAACGCATTTTTAATAACTTTTAAATTTTCTCATATGAGAAATTTAAGTTTTAAAATTAATAAAATGACTGGTTCGTCTCTCGCAAAAACCAATGCGTAAGTTTATGCCAAACAGAAATCCTCTAAGCCGCATATAAATTGATTATCACATTTAATTTTCGATTATTGTGCTAAAGTTTTCTTGAAGTGTAGCCAATTAATAAACACAAGGACATGGACGTCTAGTGGGAAAGTGAATATTGACAAATCATTGGGGAGACAGGAGGAGGGAAATGAGAGAATAAAAAGGGGAGCACCGACATGTAAATATTGGCTCTTCACACTCCCACGATTAAGACATTAAATTTTAATCGCTCATCTTTTCGCTCTCCCAACCAAACCAAAAAAAAACAAGAGAGCGCCAATTTATTGACCGTTGAGTGATGGCCCACGCGTGTGCTGGTGTGGGTGTGTGTTCTATGGGGTCTGTAGTATTGTGGTAAGGGGAATCGGGGGTTTGAGGGGTAGGAAACAAATAAAATAACCGATCGCTGGGCCTCCAGATAATTTGCACGGATGCTCTAATTGAATTTTGGGGCAGTACCAGATGATTTCTACAAATTTGGATAGTAAATAACTTAGAGATCGCAATAAATTGCCAATCATAAAGGAAGGAAAGTTTCGGACCGGCAAATTTATTGGTCCTGCGTGAGCTTCTTATAAAATGTAGTTCTTCGGACTGGAAAAGTGTTTATTTTTTGTATATTAATCGTTGCCAGATGCCCCGCAAACTTGAAAAGCGTTTGCAAAATAAACATACCACGAGGGGGCAGAAATAAAAACAAAATTAAATGAAGTGTTGATTAGTCAATTACCTTCCGACGTGCAAGCAGCAGCCGGCACCCACAGAGAAAAAATATCAAAGCGAAATGCGCAGGTCAAATAAACACCTAGTTTCTCATATTATTTATTCACTAATAATCTTTAATATTTCAGAATTCAATAAATTCGTAATTTAGGTTTAGAAACAACTGAAATGTTCAAATTGAGTATCATTTTATTTTTTTAGTGCACACACACGCACAATTCACCCACACACATAAACGAGCAGCCTCTGAAACGTGGGAATAATTTAATTTACCGTTTCACCTCCGTCCTGGAAAACCGCTTGTCGGACTCTTTCACACCTTTACCGTTACGCTGGACCGACACCAAAGCAAATTATGTTCACAAATACAAATACACTTGGCTTTTGCTGACACCCGATTTATTGAATTAAAAGTAAACAAATCACCTGAACTAAGGCCCAGCTGCCGAACTAATCAAAATGCAATTTGCCAAGACATAACACTAAACGGAACACGAGTCTTTTTATTTATTTTGCCGACGAGCGCGAACACAACCGATCCTATTGGAATTTCATCTACATTTGACAGCAATTTTGTTTTACTTTTCGGCCGCACTGGCGCTAGCGCAAACAAAATGTTAAACAGCATCATCGTGCTAACATTATTGTTAACAGTTTTGTTATTACAGTCAGCGATTTAGCATTCCAAGCTGTCATTCAAAAGAAAGGTGTAATGTTACCCAGAGTGAATGGCAAAAGTGGAGAAGAAGAAGCACTAAAAACAGCTGACACTTGTTTATTAACTGAATTAAAATGCATTTAAGCCGTGTTTATATTACCGTAGGTACTACCAAATTCGACGCTCTTATATCATCTATATCCTCGGACTCCGCTCTAAAAGCTTTAGAGAAACGAAAATGCACTAAGCTCGTAATACAACACGGAAATTCACAACCTTTGACAGAGGAGAAAATTCTAGATATAAGAAAGAGCCACGGAATCTATATAGAACAATACAAATTTCGGCCAAATATAGAGGACATCAAATCTGCAGACCTAATTATTGGACATGCAGGAGCAGGAACTTGCATGGATATACTAAATAACCGAAAACATGGACTCATTGTAATAAATGACACACTCATGGACAACCATCAATTAGAGCTGGCCAAGCAATTATCCTCTGAAAATTATCTTTACTATTGCAAGGTTACGGATTTGGATGCCCAGCTAGCCTCTCTCGACTTTAAAGCCCTAAAACCCTATGAATATCAACCCGAAAATCTTAACAAATTTGTTTCCGCCATCAATGAACTGATGTCTCATTAAAATCTAATAAACGTTGAACCAAAAACAAGCTTTTTTGTAGCCAACCCCCAGTGGGGTTAGCGTTTGCTATATATTTGGGTTTGCAAGAATAGTTAATAAACACGAACGTCTACGAAGAATATTAAATATTTTATGCAATCTAACACTTGCTGGGGCTATATGAGATAGATAAATTCACAATTAAACGATAATGCGTACATATTTTTTTTTGTTACTGTAACTGGTAAATTCCACTTATTAGAAAAGTTAATTTTATATAACGCAATGAGACTCTCAACGTGCTTTGGTTGTTGCTCTGTCCGGTTCCGCTTTGTTTACTCCTCGGCTGCGGCTGCTCCATTTTCTATGATAGCATCGAAAGAGAAGGGCTGGAAAGCATATCCCTGACCCTTATAGAACTTGCTCTGGAACTCGACCCTAGAAGATTAGAGAAATACAGTTTGTTACTATTGATTTTGATTTAAATGAAACTCAAGTGATTTACCAGTGAAGACGTAGAGTGTGCAGGAAGGCGGACAAGCCCTCCATTAGCACCAAAATGCCAACAGTGAGAATAGCCCAGAAGGCGAACACGCAGGTCAAGACGATGCCGCCAACAGGGCCTTCCTGCTTTAGACCAATCGACAGGACCATGGTCCACAGCACCTCAGCCAGCTCTGCCAGTTTAAAAAGTTTAAATAAGCTATCAACTTAGATTATAGTTCGTTCGATTTCTTACGGGCATGAGCCAGGGATAGCGCCCACAATCGGAGATAGGAAGCAGTGTGGGAAACGGAACCCAGCACATACTCAATAGTGTGGATGCTTTGGTGAATAAAAATCTCGGATAGCTCCTCTTCCTCCTCATGACCTCCGCCACCACCATGGGATCCACCATTTGAAACGCCGCCAGTTTCCGCATCAGAAGTGGCTCCGGCAATCGGTTGAACCTGAAACCAATCAGGATTGTTTACTCCATTTAAAAAGAATATTTTAAAAATCTAATGTCGAACTTCTCTAATTGAAAGAGCAATATATTTTTCAAACTTATAAAGTATATACACTATACATTTCCAATTCATTCACTGGCAGATTAACCAGTAAATGTTGTTAAGAAATAGTATATAAATATTAAATTAGAGAAGTTCAACTCAACAAGGACAACAAACGACACGACTAACCTCTTCCTACGGTTTGTGGGTTGGAGTGTTTTAGTTTATTCGGTGTGGATTTAATTTTGGGGATTTAATTTTGTTATTCGGGAGCAAAAATAAACAAGAAGCAGTTAGTATAATGTGGAGATCTGGAAGTGCGATGTGCGTTGAAATGTTGTGATATGAATGGAGGGTTTTTCTATGGGAAATGATGAAATGCTTAGTATGGAATTCTACTTACGTTTGCTTGCTTGCGAGCCTGCATAATAAGCAGCGGCTTGGCCAGCAGCATCACTGGAATACAGCCGACTGCGACCAGGACGAAGAGTACCTGAATAAAGTGCTGACCCATAAACATATACGTTTCACATTTTTCTGGCGGTGGTTTGGGATTGTTAAACAGAACCATGTCGATAAAAGTGATTAGGATCGATGGTGCACAGGCTTCGGAATAAGGCCCTAAATATGAAAATATATGTGTCAATAAGTAAGTACAGGATCAACTTAAAGAACTCACTTTCATTAGTGGCCGCGAACTTGATCCATTTAATGAACATCAGCAGAACCATGTAGAAGAAGAGCAGAAGGAGGAAGACCAGTTGTGGAATGAACTCGTACAACAGGGAAATCCTGTTGCGGAAATACGTATGGTTGTGCCAGCTCATCACCACTCCGAAGATCATGTGTATAACGCCGAAAATAATAGATATCTTCATTTTGTAGGCGTTATGGAAAATAATTTTATTGGCTCCCGCTACCTGCCAAATAGGATCCATGCCGAACGGATACGGAGCCCCCTCGTAGTCGTCTTTTGGGCTCAACTGTAGGAACTTGTTGTCCATAACAGTAGATTTGTTGTAGGACATATGCCAATGGGATCCAAAGATATTCAGCGATTTGGAGAATATATCATTGTATATAAGACCAGTGTACATGGAGAATACACCCATGAGAAAGATGATATATCGTCCTCCGAAGAATATGTTCCAGATCTCATTGTCTGTCTTTTGAGCCGCCAGTCCTTTCTCTTTACGAATCATCCAAAGACCAAATAGCGCCATTATGGCTCCATGGCCCAAATCTCCAAACATCACGGCAAACAGAAACGGGAAGGTGATGATCGTGTAGGGAGCTGGATTCATTTCCCGATAGCTGGCCACCCCATAAGCATCGATCAACGCCTGGAAAGCCTTGGTGAACTTATTTGTACGATTGTACGTAGGAGGATTCTCGAACGTCTGCATCCGGTTAAGAATCGGTGGCACCGACGATCCCGATCTTTCAGTTCCCCGACGCAAGGCCAGTTGGATGGTTTCAATGTCCAGAAGCGGCACCCAACACTCGGCGATCAGACACTTCTGGGTCACGTCCAGATTGAAGAGATTTAGCGTATGGTAGATAGCTTTAATCTTCCGCACTTTGACAAACCAGTTCTTCAAGTTCTTGGCCGCAGCGACCAAGACGCGATGTCGATGGTCCTGTGTCTGACCGAGCACGGTGTTCAGATCTTCAATACGAGTCATCACACCCATGGCCATCTCACGGCGGTCAGCCGGAGCCTCGGGGCAAGGATAAAGCGTGGCGCGGAACCCCTCGCAGATCTTCTTAACGCGCGTCTTCAGCTGATCGCCCTGGAAGAAAATGATGAACACAGACTTGTGCACCTGGTCGCCCTGAAAATCGGAAGCATATGAATGATTAATTGTTAAGTGTTAAGTAAGGTAGAAATTAATACAAAATACTAATTTTATGAAAGTTTGTAGTATATGGGTTTAACTTCTAGTTTTAGACTTACATTGGTGGGATCCTCCAATGGCGTTTCGATCATCGCCTGTCGCAAGAAGACATTTCCCCTGCAGGCGCGCCACAGCATCCGCTCAAAGGCAGGCAGCCGCTCTCTTAGGATAACGCCGGCCACAAAGCTATATGGGATTGGAAATCAGCGATTAGTGACACACCTCCGCTACTAGCTATTCAACAGATTCATTCCGGTTATTTACGACAAACAAGGAAAACTAAACTCTCAAGCACAAGTTACCAATGGACGCGCGAGGCTAGAGCAGGAATCAGGATGAATGAGACACCGGGTGGGATTGTTTGGATAGTTGGGAAGATGAGACGTTAGCACTCAAGGTTGCATTTTGAAGTCTGGACATGATGCGGGATGGTGCTGGGACGCAAGGGGAGGCGAGCGAAGCTAATGACATGTCTCTATATACAGCTGATTGACCGATCAATACGAATACCAATACGGACACAAATACGATTGATGAGCGCTGTTCGTTGGCTAATGGATACGAGTTTGACTGATTGTGTGGCCTATTCTTTTGTTTTTGAAGGGGCTGGGTACCAACCATGGAAGATAATCCTCACGTTCGTTTGATTTTTCCATGTAACTAAATTTTTTAAACATATTTTTTTCGGTTGGACATTTTTGTGTGGGGAGAGAGGAGCATAAGAAGAGAACGACGTTTAATTTAGTTGTTTTTTGTGTGACATAATTCATTTTGGATCTTGCACAAAAAATTATTGCTCGAAACTCCAAGAGACTCCAAGATGGTCGGAATAAATGGACATGGCTTGGTTAATCGTCCTCTTTGGTGGCGCAGCTGCTTTGGCTTTTGGTTAGATTGGCGTTGGCGGCAATAAGCAATAATTTTGTGTGGCATTTCGTTGGTAAAGATTATGTACAGTAAAAGCTTCCTTGGGCGGAAATAGAAGAATTATCCTATTATTTATACTATACTCATTAAGTATATACATAGCAAGTAAAACATAAATAAGAGTAAGACCCCATATGTTATCTCGACATAAATCTTAAAGTTTAGTCCCAGTTTTGGACCTTTAACTTAGTATTATTTCCGCCCAAGGAACATTTTTCTGTTGCTAGAGCTATGTCCTAAGCCCGAGTGTGCGCCTGCCCAATTTTGGATGCTGGATACGTACCCGAGCTGTACGGGACCCATGGAGGCACCAGCGGTCCGCGCCTCGTCCGTGATCAAGGCGCGGGTCATCGACTCGGTTGTTTGGTTTACGCCGCCTTCTTGCTAAAAATTGTGAATGTTGGGCAAAGGTCATTTCGACTCGACTTACATATGGGTTAGCTTGGGGTTAACTCTTAGGGAAAGGTTAGTAGAACCGCCTCCGAATCGTGGTTGTTGGGTTTTGTGGCATGTGGAGGGGATTGGATTGGATATAATTTGGAAACCGACACCAGAGCAAACAAGTAGAGTATGTGCTTTATGTTTGAAAACAATTTGATAGCCTATCAAATGGAACACTCATCAATTGTACATGGATGGGACACGGACGAGTAAAACACAAACAGCTAGGAGTGAGAGGAGCACGAGAGCGAGTGGGTCTTGGCCTGAGTTTAGTTTTCCCCCTGTTCTCGTCGAGGTCCGTGGCCCCAGTTCCCAGGTCCAGGTCCGCATCAATATTTACCCAAGCTTTAAATTCTGGCCCGGCTGGCTGGCCCGGACACCCTCCTCGCCCAGCAGCTGCGCCTGCTCGTCCTCGTTTTGGTTGTCGGCCATCTGCGGATAGCGCCGATATTTGCTGGATGAGTATGTGCCACTCGACTTGTACACCGTGGGCACCGACTTTTGGCAACACCATCAATATTGGGCAGGGCATTGGTTGGTGTTTTGGTTTTTTTGTTGGGTGTTCGTGGTTTGTGCAGTTTTGTGTTTTTATCGGTTTTTGATTTTTGGTCGGGTTGATTGATTGATTGTGTATTGATTGATATGGAAAAACAAAATGTAAAAACGCATAATAAAATAACCAAAAATATCAAATAATTAATACTAAACAATAAGATTGTGCAAACATCGAGCTATACATATATAAACAGAGTGTGGAATAAATAAAGAAATTGAAAGAGGAATATTAAGATGTGTATCTAAAGGAAACAAAAAGCCAGGATGGATATCTGAAACCCCGTTTGAAAATAAGCTAAGCAATAGAAAACGGTTTTACTTTATGGTAAAATCATATAGTATTTATGCATTTTTGTCTTCTATTGCTACAATGTTTCAGAAACCCTTATATGTATTATTTTGATTGCTCAGAAACACATCGAATAAAAACAATAACCATTAACTGATATCAAACGCACAATAAAGGAATTTTCACAAACTCAAACCAAGGGGTAAAGCACACATCGTTTGCCTTGGGAAACGGAGAAGGGGAAGTGGAGATTCGTGCACAGTAGTCTAGAGAAATCGTTTTAGTGTGGGGAGGAGTCTGGGAGGGAAACCTTATGTAACTAGAAGTCGTGGCTGCCACACTTGTGTTGTCGGTTGGGACATTGGTTATTGCTTAGAAAAGTTGGTTAGTAATCAGCCGCTTTACTGGCTGACATATGTTAAATGGAAATCGGTTACCGATCGTTATTTGTTAAATGATACCCATTGGCTGTTCTTCATGCCGCTGCTTACCTCGTCAAAGAAGACTTGAGTTTTGCGAAGAATGTGCTTCAGCTCAGTCAGCTCAAGAAAGTTGCGTTTCAAGGCCTCGGCGTTCTGATTCACCTCCCTTAACTCGTTTTCCAGTTTCTCGAAGGTGGCCTGAAGGGTAGAAAGGGAAGCCATATAAGTTAAAAAAAAAGAGGCTAAGCTGTTTTGGCTCTTACAACTCTATGTAGTGACTATTATTTATCATATAATCATTAGTTTGTTTACCTCAAGATCGATCATCTCACGGGGCTGCGGGGCCTCGGGACTCTCTCCGGTGTCCAACATGGGGAATCCCATCCTTCTTGATCTCCTTCTCCAGGTAACGCAACTTGCGCTCCATTTCATCACATCGTCGTACCTCATTGACGAACTTCCTTTGGAAGGCGTTAACATCCGGATTAAGCTGTGGATTTCGTAAAAATAGGTTATTATAAGGGGCGTCTGATTTAAAACCTTTTTGCGGTCAATCAATAGCACTGGATTAATGGTCGTTTTTCTTCCCTTTTTGTAAAAAAAAAACAATATTAAAAGGGACATTTATTAGTACATCTTTTTTAGATGTAGATATACTAAATATTAAAATTTAGTGGTGGCGTCATAAGAATTTTTTACAATCAGAGGAAACGTCTCATGGAATATTAAACCATATAAGGTAGAATTTGTTTTTTGACTTGGTGCATAACTCAACCAGTAATATTGCTTTCTACGCTGTTTTATGTAATTCATTCTACTCACATCTCGGAACTGAACCAAACCCAGTTCTCCCAACTCGGACACGCAGGCATAGGCCGCCTCACTCTGCAGGAAAAGCTGGCATAGCGCCATTTCCTCGCTCCGGAACAGGGAACCCATTGTGGCCCGACCCCAATATCTGTAAACACACACAAATGAATCAGAATATTTACATATATTACATATATTTCCCATTTCATTTAATGATTCATGGCCACATAAACCGCGTCTGCAATCTGGGTTTCTCTGAAAGATTGGCGGCTGTGTCATAAATGTACATATATACTTTAACACTACATTGATTATCATTAGGGGCGGACGTCCACTTGTCCTCATCGCGATATCTGTAATCTATACTATATACGCAGAGATTCGATTTCTATACCCCATGCATATATTGATTTTTCTCCGCTGCAGACAAAAAGAAAGTGCTACGTTGGACCCGGATGCGAAGGTTTAAGCGTATCGAAAGGTCACCGAATCACTACATTTTTTCTTTATCACGAAATCATTTAGTTTGTTAAGGGGTCTATACCATATTGGCGTTAAATATTTAATTACCAATATCTTAAAAATAAATATAAATTCGTCCACGAAATTCCAGCAGCAGACCGACAAAAGAAAATTATGAAGTGTGACCGTACAAAGACGACTGATTAATACCATTCAATCTTGTTAATAGTAATTCATTGAATAATAAATAAAATAGGTTTTTATTTATAATTTATCTAAGGAAACTAATAGCTAATGAGAAATATTATTTAATTCATATGCTTAAACGAATGTACACAATTTATTATTCCCATAGAATTTCGCCATCTTGCTTGAACTGAAATTTTTGTAGGGATATTCATCGTTTACCTTTGACAGTTACTATAATGTTATATGATATTTTCTATATCGTTTAAAAAATATATCGGATTATGAAATTTAAAATAAGTACATAAAAAAAAAAGTAGTGAGAACTTTTTATTTTAAAATATTTATTTTTTTTTTTTTGCATTTTTGCGTTTAAATCACCTGGTATCTCTGCATATCACCAACAAAAAACTTGAAACAAAACCGCCATATTTTCTTTTGTTATTTAAGTAATTATAGTTAAATAAGTAAAAGTATGGATCGAACGATCATTGCACCATGGAAGGCAGAAGAAAAAGAGCAGAGTGAGAAGTTACACAGAAAGCTGCTAGGATTGGCTTTGGTGCATCCTCTGCCAGATGAGTTGCGAAAACTGCTAGCCTGGGACATGTTCTTAAAGCCTAACCAGGTGGCTTTTGTACACATTATGCACTACCTATTCCGTCTCCTTGATCCGGCAGAGTTCAAGCGCCGATTCTTCTGGCCCATCACAGATAAGAAATCGGAGGCCAACTTCCGTTCCAGCACGGTGGAGTATCTAAAGCATCTGAACGAGAAGCACCAGCTGCACTGGACCAACATTAAGTCCTACTTGGTGGTCATGCCCGGTGGTATGAGGTTTATTAATTTCCTGCTTGAGTTCGTAGGTTTTGTGATCCAGGAGCTGATTAAACAGCGCGAGAAGACACTCGGTCTGGAGGCTGGAACACAGAATGTGAGTGCCAAGATCATGGCACGCCAAAATGCCGTGATGAAGGAGTATGCCTCGGTGTATGTTCTCAATCTGGAAGAGAATACAACACTGCTGCGGCAAAAAACGCAAACAATCAGACGCCTTACTGCCGATCTGTCTGTGGACATGGGAGTGCCAGAGGAACAATTGCTAGATGATGGTTTCCTTGATGAATTCGAGGCCGCCGCTGCCCTTGGCGTAGAGCGGGTGATAACACATACAACCGAAAGGAAATTAGACCTGGAGGAATCTCTGTGTGGCCTTAAGGATGCCATCGAACATTTTCAGTTGAAACAGGCGGAGCAAAATCAGAGCAAGGAGGCAGTAGAGAAGGCCTTGCGCGGCGTGCGTTTGTTATTCGACTGTGATCCTGTCACAGATGGTAAGATTTGTTGGTTAACGTCCTGGTAAACCCAACCAAAACGTATTAATTTCTCCACAGATTTTTTTGATCCGTTGGGTAGCTCCAAGATGGAAGCTCTAGTTAACGCCTTTAATCGTGTAAGTGGCACAATTTCTGAGCAACTCGGAGCCAACGACCACTACAACAAATCAAATGAGTTTGTCACCACCGATTTGGAGGCGCTCCGCGTAGAACTGACGCAGTCAGAAGTTCAGCTCAACAATTTATTTAAGAAACTAAATGAGACGTCCAGAAAAGATAAAAGTAATGCAATTGGAAGTGCTTCCGGGGCGCCTAGGGGTCAGACACTTCAGCCGGCCACGCCTCGCTTTGATTCAGTTATTAGCTCCAAGTTTGTTTCCACTCCTCCGATAAGGATCGACTTGGCCGGTGGCTTAGGACGCAATGCTCCAGTGCGTCTAGCACTCCAGGACGACTTCAATGGCAAACAGTTCGATGCGTTAAGCAACAGTTTATTGGGTAACTATTATGCACTGATCATTGATCATTGCTGCAAATAATAATCTCCCCTATTCAGCTCCTGCCCCGCCTCGATCAGCACGAAAACCAAAAATCCTTGATCAATCAACGGGCAATGACCTTAATGGCACCTTAAACAGATCAAAAATCAACGATCCCATGCAAATGCTACGAACTATTCACAAAAACACGTCCAAGGCCAAGTCGGCGCCTCAACAAAATCTTTCCTCCCTTGGAAGTAAATGGAAGCAAATGCAGGCTTCCTTCGGCTTTGATGAGGCACCGGTATCAGGATCCGCGATGGTCTCCCCACAGAACTCACCGACGAATCTTGCCGATCCCTTTACACCTCTGAGCGGAAATGAATGTACTCGCATCGAACGCATGCCGCGCACCTCGGACAACAACAGCTCATTAATCGCCAAGAACGCTGCAGTGATGAAGGTAATGGAGGTGTCTCGGAATGTTCTTAACCTCAGTACCTCGCCATCTGGTCGCCTGGATGCCCTAGTACCTCCCACCGAGAGCTTCCAGCTGGATACGCCACGTCTTCTGCTAAACGACAGAACCATTAACGTAAGTGTATTAACAACAATATTTAATAAACTATTTTGCCGAAGACGACACATTCAGAACTGTATTTTAAAATATAAAAACCAATGATTTAAATTTTTCGTTCGCATACCGTCATAAATAATTTAAATCTTATATACCAGTTAATTTGAAGACTTAATTTCTTTTATAGGACTCACTGGTGCTCGAGCCCGATTTAAATACAGAAAACGACCCAAATGCTTTGAATCTCTCTTATAAATTCGATTTTGATCAGATCGGAGGAGATGATGACATTCAAAACATTAGCGATAGTGTGCTTAAAGGAGTTATATTGTAGTCGAAAGCAATCAAAGAAGTGCTTCGGCTAGCGGAGTCGCCACAATTAAGAGAGTTGAAAGGATTAGCCCATAGTCAGGTTCAACGCATGCGGTTTTAATAAACATAAACAACTGTTGAGGCAGTTTTAGAGTTTATTTAATATACTTTTAAAAGTCACAAATCTTTATATATTCATCAGTTCCTTATTGTGGCCGTTCCTGTCTTTCTATCCATTGTTAAATCAGACTTTCTGAGATGAATGGTTTGAGCGATCAAGCTGAGTAAAAAGTAAAATAAAATTTAAAAAATGTGAAGTTGGAAATGATTATTAAAGGTATAAAGAACTACTAATATGGCTGAATGGAATGGGAAAAGTAAAATAACATAAAAATATGACTTCAATGAAATTCATTTTTATTAAATTCGAAATTATATTGAAACTGTTATAAGTTTATTATTAACCTAAATGTCATGAATGTGAGATATGTACTTTTGTGTATCTACAAATAATTGTATTAAATTGCTTTTGGTCTTTATGGTCCGCGCCTATCACATGTCCAATCCGATCGCACGTCTAGTCGCTCAAAAATCTTTTTCATATGGATACTGGCGTATTATATACCTTAGATTAAAGATTAAGAGTACTGGCAAAGAATTCAGCATTTCATGCAAACCCTATTGCAGTTCGTTGAGCAATCGCTCACAACACCTTCGATTTCGGGATAGATTAAATATTTATATATATATATATACATATATATCTTTTATATCAATTAACTGATAATTTGCACTGCCGTTTCCCGTGAAAATCTCTTACTTCCCGCGACGCTGACGCGGCGGAAGGTTGTTCTTCTTGCCTAGGATCTTCATTAGCTGCTTGGACATAAAGTAGGGCTTCTCCGGTGAGCCGTCGTTTCGTTCGCAGTCCTCCAGGAAACAGAGGAACAGCGTATCCACGGCCGTCGAGTAGACACCAAAGAACACGCTCGTTATGAGAAATGCGGCAATTACCACCACCGTGGTGGGTACCGCATTGTAATGTAGCTGAATAATGGTCGGATTATTAACCAGGAAGTAGTAGGTGGATACACCCGCGCCTGCTGTTAGCAGCAGTTTTGATAGAAAGAACAAAAAGTCCGTGACCTGGTCTAGCGTCACTACACGCAGGAAATTCCTCATAATGAGGTTAAACGAGTCCGCGGCACTGGAACAGAAGTTCTTGCCGTGGATGGCGCACATGATATATGCATTCCGATTGAGGAACTTAAGGAAGGTCTCCAGCAGCCAAAAGAAGCAACGCATGCAGCAGAGGATGGCTCGTGTGACCGCGTTGTCGTACTTTTTAAGCTTCTCGTGGATGTATTCTAGCACAAGGCGGATCATACGGACAATGGCAAGGATCAGGGACCCGAAGGCTACGGTACCTAAGTGATAGAATGCAGTTTGACAAAAAGCTCTTGTAAGGGTGAAGTACGGTACATCCCTCTTCTTAAAGGTCCAATACCAACGGGCGAACGTCGAAGCCAGCACCATGTAGCTGAAGGCGGATATGAAGAAGCTCAGCCAAAGGAATCCAAAGACGTTATAAAAGATGGCCCACTTTATCTCAGTCGGGTTATCAATCGAGTCAAAGCTGCAGGTGGTTTTCGTACAGGCTGTCCGCTGTGATTGCTGGAAAAATCCGGTCTGCCGTATTGAGCAATGTTGTTGGAACAATTTTGGGTCGCAGGGTCCTCCCACAGTGTAGTTAATTGCTGGACCCTCGCAGATGCAATCCTCGGTGGTCACTTCTCCACTTTCTGTCAACTGGCGGACCATTCTAAACGAAGGATCTCCAATTGAGCCCAGATACAAGCCCACGGCGATGGCAAACGCAATGGCAGCAATAAAGAGTATCCAGGAGAAGATGGGGAAGAACACGGTACTTATCACACTGCTCACGGCTTTGCTACCCTCCTTAGTTAGGGCAATCGCTATCCGGATGCGCTTTCTCAGCACAATCACAAGCAATAGAATGACCACGAAGCACAGGCCCACGAAGATAGACAAGTAGAGCCAAGTGTTCTGATTTTGGAGAACGTTCTTGACTGTCGATTGAAGATTCAAGCCGTGAATCGGTACCGTGGGTGTCTTCTCCCAAAATATGTATTGATTGACGGTGTAATAGATGCCAACGAGAAGGCCGATAAGCACACCGAAGATGGAAAACCAGAGGATCGGAGCAGAGAGCCATCGCATAAGAGCAATATAAATCAATGAGGCAATTAGCGTGCAAAAGCATGCAACCAAAACAATAGACCAGGAGTTGACCAGGTCCTCCACAATCTCCTCACCCAAACGCTGAGCGTCGTGCGTGCCGTTGTAAAAGTGGGCCACCATATTTCCCACCAGCTTTGCCAGTCTCGTATCCGTCTGCATCATCTTCTCCTTGATGACAGCCTCGTTGAGTCTGCGTTTGCACTGGATGATCGGTTCCTCATCTACTGGCGTCTGTTTGCTATTTTCCTGCGGAACAACTAGAGCCTGGGCCTTTGCCATGCTAAGGGCCATAACCTGTGCCTGCAGTTGGGCTTCCGTGGTGGTGTTCCCTGGCAACAGCTGCAGCTCTCGTCTTGATCTACCTCCCTGTAGAAGGAATGATGGAATGTAATCGCATACGCCTTGGGAGAATTCAAAGAGGCATCTTTTGAGGAATGGAGCACTCTTGATATACCAGCGAGCACATTGGTTTTGCTTAATGGCCTCTTCAATGTCTCCTTTGTTGCTAATTTTCGACTTGTGCTCGTCTGTCAAACAGATTAGGCGACTTTTCAGCTCCGGGAAGCTAAGTTTGTCCTTCATAGTGTCCCAGACGAACGTTTGGCTAGGACAGGTCTCCACACAAACCTTTAAAAATAAATTTTTCAGTTAAATTAAAAGCTAATTATTTCCTCGGTACATTATTGGTTTTTTATAAAGCAATTAAAATTGTAGCGACTTAATCATAATCAGGGCTTAATTTTTACATACCTGGGGAGTGGGACATCCCGTCAGGGGTACGATTGGATCAATGCACTGGTTCAAATCAAAAAAGAATAGGTTTTCCTTATTTAGCACCCCGGAGTCCATGCCGCACTTCCGGTTGAATGAGTCCGTGGGCACCAAAAGTTTGTTGAGATCCCCAGTCTTGATAGCGTAATGAGCGATGAATCCCCATCCAGCCAGGAATAGGGCAAAAAGCAGCAGGCAGGGCACATCAGTGCAGCTACGATCTCTTTGCCGAGGACCCGTAAAATTTCGGTCGTAGCGCAGTGGCTCGCCGTACTTGTTCATCAGCTCCACGCTTTCGGTCATATCTCTTACTGAAAAACAAATGAAGCATCGAATGATATATTTATATGCATGTATGTTGAACTATCATCGATGGGTTGTCGTCTCTAGGTAATGAGTCTGAACTGTCAGCCATAGTTCATGTAATTTATTTCCGTAGATGCGTCATTGTTTTAAAAATGGAACCACAAATATGTAGTGGGTGGTTGTGTTCTCTTTGTACTAGATGGGGAAATAGGAATGTTGATGCATCAACGATAACAAATTTTTCTTAGTAATATTATTTCTGATAACATGTCTTCCAAGAGATAGGCTTTCCCCCTATGCACTCTAAATTGTTAAGAATTTCCTTGCCTCAGTTATTAAGCATTACAAACATAATGTAATCGATACAATTGTTTGTTTAATAATATTTATTTTATAAATAAATATACTCGAGTATATAAAAAGAAATTGGCGCTATCATATATGTAGATTACTATTTAATTAATCTGAAGAAGAAATGGAAAACAAATAAAAAAGGTTAAGTGCCATTTGCTAACATTCTATCTCTCTGATAACGATCGTGATCGTGAACTGAGCGGATCTGTTGGGAATGCGAAAAACCGGCGAAAACGTAGATGAAAAGCAACTCGAGCATGTCATAAATTGGCAATAATGACGCATTAAAAAGCAAATTAAATTTTCACTTGTTGCTGCGAGTTGTTTGTTTATTTGTATCGCTTTATTTTTGTTTGCGGCTTCTGTCCATTTAAAATGAAAAACCCGCTGCTGAAAAAAACATTGATTTTCATAGAAAATTTGACAACCATTTTTGGTTGGCAAGGCAGTTTGGGCCACATGTTTCAAGGTCGATTGCCGTAACTCCATTTCGATATGGGAATTTCAATGCCTTGAGCAGTTTATCATTTCACCAGTGACACAGGAGGCACTCGGAAGAGTGAACATTGTCTTATTAAGCCTTTCGTTAGAGATAGCCAATAGAATAAACCCTAACCAAAGGCTAAAAACAAGAACGAATCTTCTGTTTTTGAACTCCTTAAAATAATATATTTTTTAAAACCATTTACAAAAATTAAAAACATTCAAAATGTTTTACAACCTCAGATTTCTCGGAAGCAACTGTGTACTGTGTTTGCCTTGAACTACGTCACCTGAGATAAAAGAAAGCAGTCCCAGTTCTTATCTTATAATGGTAACGTCTTGTTTTCCATTTCAACGATTTTCTTTGTAGTTTTAGAGCTACAAGTACAAGGCCCCGTAATTTACTAATAGGGGGTATTACTCACCAATGTTCCACGGAGATTCTTTCAGAGATGTGACAAAGGAGCCTTACTCTTCTCTTCGCTTTTCCTTTCTTTCTTTATGCTCCCTTATTGTCTCATGACACTATTACAAGTGGGTTGGGGCTTTTTGTTTAGCTTGATTCCTGGGATGGAGTCACTTCTCCGGCGAAAGTCACCGGACCACTAAAAGCGGGAAGCCTTTGTCAGAGCACTGCACCCGAGCGTTGCTCTTTGGACGTCGGTCACTTGCACTCGTGAATATCAGACCTTATAGTGGGGGCTGCAAGCATAAAGGCAGCATAAGTATTTATGTTGGTGTGTACCACTTGGGGATTGGATTGTGAAAAGAGCAGCACGGCACACTTTTGTTAATTGCACAATCCTAATCGTTTTCACCCGATAACTAGCACTAGCCATTCCCGTTATAATAACAGCTTGCAGTTTCGACCGAATTCGAATTTCTGTGCATGCAACTCTTTTTGTTTATGTTTTTTTTTTGTTTTACGGGCGATATTATACACCCTAGCTCACGTACTGCGACTCACTTGCACTTACGGTAATTAAACGGTAACCACTTGGTTTTCCACGAAGCGAAATAAACAGCTCCACAAACGAATTAATACTGAATACTCGCCACAAAAAATGGCCCCCACCAGCGACCCCCAACTCCACAGCAGCTGTTTCTGCCAGTGTTGCACAACGGAGCGTTTTGGTCAAAACAAACCTGAAATGTATGTTGAAAGTGCGGGCTGCACAGGGATGCATTGCAATTAGTGCTGAGTGTTGGCAGTCAGATACGTACATACATCATTTCTTAGATTGTTGGGGTTTAAATAAATAATATCAAATTTAAATTAATTAGTTTTCGTTTTATACACTTTCCGTTAATGTAAAATTCTTTTAAGCTATTATATATAAGAAAATATCTGATAATACAAGAATTTCAACACTCATGTTAATTTATAGTTAGAAAAAGAGATTACATAACAACAATAAATAATTATTGTATATATTAAAGCCAGAACTAATTTACAATCATATGATCGAGGACATTGTTGTAAGTCTCTTCTCACAACTTGGTAATAAACATAAAGTTGTTTTAAAAGAGATTGTATTAAAACAGCTTATAACGTGAGATCGTAAATTGCGAATGTTTTAAAAATAAGATATAGCCTTTAATATTTGAATTGTTTCCGAATCGTTAAATTAAATGCTGATTATAGAACAGCTATAACAAGAACTTTGTAATTGCTGCAACAAAGCGCTGCAAGTGTCACCTTTGCTGCGCGCAGTGTGAACGCCTTTGTGTAATTTGCGAAAACCGCGACCAGTGCTGCGCAACGCGGCTGCGAAAGCCAAAAGCAGGGTCGGATCATGGAGAGGGGTGGAGCGGAGAGAATGTAGCGTTGAGGATTTTAATAAGAAACAATTTAAGAATCGCGCTCTTGGCCGTGCGAAAAGCGCTTGGCCCAAATAGTTTAAATGTCCCTTTTGGTAGCGTCGATTGAGTGTGTTTAGTCCCCGGTGTCCTGCCGATAAAGATTGTGTTGTTTTCGTGCCGGCAGAGCTCATCAATTCGAAACCCCCCAAAAAAGTTTCCACTTTTTCTTTCCCCCAGAAAAGTGACAATTATTTGTGGCCGTGGTCGGCAGATGCAGCTGCAAATCGGGAGGCGATTAAAGCAGTGCAATCCGGCGCAGGTCCTCTCTATTTGTTTATGTTGATAAACAGTACTTGTGGGACAACTAGGCAAGTGTGAAATTGCCACGGTTATTAAGTGGTTGTTGTTACTTGGTGTACGTGCAGAAAACCTAAATCAGACATCCCCAGAAGAAGAAGAAGAAGGAGGAAAAGAAGGAGGAGGAGCAGCAGCGACTTCTCAGTTGTTTTTGTTTAGCTGCGAGAGAGAGGGAGAGAGCGCGACGAAGAACACGCGGCTCTTTCGAAAAAAAGGGCGGGAAGGCCCTTTTAGTTCGAATAAATCCTCTCCTATTGATAATCCGTAACTTTGCCCGCCGGACATGTCAAGGGGGGGCGAGCACAAGCGCGTCACCCTCACCTCGATCATCCAGGGCGATGTGGGCTTCTCGCGCTTCGGAAGCAACTTCCTGGAGCCGGATGTCCCGTCCACAGTATCAAATAACAATTCCAAACCCACGACCAAGACTGCCAAGTGCATCCGTATCAAACTCGATCTGTTCGAGACAGATTCAAACAAGTATCCCGAGTTTAACTACTCCCGGCTTTTGTACTTAGAGAAGGTATGTTATTAAATCCATCAACTGAATCGCCCTCTAAAGAGTTTCATCCCACAGAAAAAGGCAAAAAAGCTGAAGCAGGTTACGAATTGCAATGGTGCCGCCGGCACTGATCCCTTTGCAGACAACGATGACGATGTGGCCAGGATAGTCAAGGAGCTGGAGGCCAAATACGGCAACTCCTATGCCACTGGAAGGGGCAAGAGCAAAAAAGACGACTACCGCGATATTGGAATAGGATACGATGAGTCGGACTCCTTCATCGACAATACTGAAGCTGTAAGAATACGTTTATGAGTATATATACATATATATACTTAATATTCTTGACCTAATATACTACTTTTTGTCTAGCAATTTTTGAATGAATGAGACATAATTTACCTAAAACTTTCCGCTGTACTTCCTTTTTAGTACGACGAAATCATCCCGGAGGAGGCGGAAACTTTGGAAGGCGGCTTCTACATCAACTGCGGCGCCTTAGAGTTCAAAAACCTCACCAAAAAGTCCTATACTACGCGAACAGATGCCATCATCAAAATGCCGGAGCGATCGCGCAAGCGCATGGTCTCGTCTAGTTCGGAAAGTTCATCTTCTTCTTCCGACGATGACGACGAGAACGATGACGACAACAATGGAGAGGAAGAGGAAAGCGACTCCGAGGACGATTCCGATGAGGAGGACGAAAGCGATTCCGAGGACGACTCTGAAAGCGAGAGTCTTGAAGACGAAGACTCTGCAGCCACGGCCAAATCCAGCAAGTACAAGGACAATCATGCGGCCAAGCGGCCAAAGGTCATCGTTACGGAAAAAAGAAAGCCAAGCTCCAATTCATCGGCGGGAGCTAAAAAGCCACCAATTAAGCCGGTCACTACCTCCTCGTCCTCAAACTCGCCTCGGCCTAGTACGGTGGAGATTTCGGATACGGAAGAAGGGCAACCCCAGACACAGATTCAGCAACCCGGACAGTTTCATGCCATGCTTCAGAGTCAGGCTCAGGCTCAAGCATTGAAAAAGGTGGTGAAGACGACAACTGTCAAAGACATGTTGAAGGCGAAGCGGGACAGTTTCCTTAAGTCGCAGAGCGGCGCGGCAGCTGTGAAGGGTGTCGCGAACGGCGAGCTAAAATGCATTTCTACGGACGTTTCCAGCAGCGACAGCAGCGACATGGAGTCGGCAACGGAGCAAGGTCGAGGAGACAGGCAGGGCGCTCAGCAAAGCAAAGAAGGACAGGAAAGTGAGTTAATATTGGGAAACTAATGATACGAGTATAAAATCAAGGCAGTTAAAATCTTATTTAAAATTTCTTGATAACTACAAACTTATCTTTTTTCCTTTAAGATCTTCGTACTGCCGACACTCTGCTGCCCACTACGCTGGATGCGGATATTTTGACCGCAGTAAACAGTTTCAAAGAAGCAGTTAGGAGTAGAGATTTGTGTGGCAAGAAGTTTAACCTAGATGCCAAGCTCACTCCTTTATTGCTCAGGTGATTTTACCGTTTTTATACAAGAAAGAAGTGACTAATCTTATAATATTCTCCAGAGTGTATGAGGCGGTGCTATGTACGGACCGCAACGAACGCAATATGGTATTTTCGCATATCGAATATCAGCTACAGTTGCCCAAGTACTACATGCTACGCAAAGGAAAGCAAGTGCGCGCAAAGGAGGAGAAGAATAAGACCACCAATATGCTGGATAAGCTGCGTTGGGCTGTAGCAGTGGTCATGCCTAAGGCGATCGCTGACTATGAAACTGAACTGCGAACATTTGCGGAACAAGCGTGAGTATACTAGAGACCTTTTCAACTTCCGCGTTATTACGTTTATCTATTTCAGAGCTACGGACGTGAACTCTGAGTTACCGCCAAAGATGCCGCGCAAGAAGTTCCAATGGACCAGCGAGTTGCGTCACCTGCTGTACAATGTATACCAAGCACGCTGGACATCCTATGCGGTTTTGGCTAAGCGAAAAGACTCGCTGGAGGAGTTCATCAATTGGTATCTCAAGAAGAAGGTGGTGGAACTGTGGCCGCCAGGCTGGATGCGTTTGGATGAGCTGCAACGGGAAATAACCAGGTACAAGAACACTAAAATAAAAGCAAAGGAGAAGCCGAAGACTATTTCGGTTCCCGCTTCACCGAAACTTGCTGCATCTGCCCCTGAGCAAATGCCGCATGCAAGCAGCTACCTGAAGCCAGTGGAGGAAATCCGATCTCGAGGAAACTCCGACACGGACTCAGCTACAAGTGCCTCCTCCAATAGCCTGAAGCGCAAGCTAAAGGAGATGCCCAAACAAACCAGCAAACCGCCGAAGAAAAAGGTTGCCAAGCAGATACCGCAGCAACCACAGCTGCTACAGCATCCGCAATTCCAGCTGGCACCCGCTGCCACGGCGGCAGTCAGTGTGCCAGCCATTAGCAATAATAACAACCACCTGCCACACCTGGATACGCTGCTCTCCATGCCAAGCACCTCGGCCCAGGCAGCTGTTCTAAATGCCGCTGCCGTGGCAGCTGCCAGTACAGTTCTGGACCTGGCATCTCCTAGCCGAAAAACTGATCTTAATAGTAGTAGCAACTTTTACAATCTGATTACGGCCGCCACCTTGGCCGCCAGTGGGAATCCTAGTCCGCATTCTAGCGAAGGCCAAGCCAAGGTGATTGTGGGGGCGCGGCCCTCTCCGCATGTGATCAACCTGGATGACTACCAATGCACCAGCGAAATACTACAGACATCCAAGCAGCTGGCTGCCACCACCACTGTCATCACCTCCACCGCTAAGACTGCTCAGACAACACCGGTAGGCAGGGAGAGCAGCAGCGAATCAGATGGAGTAGAGATCGTTGGTGTTTTTCCTGCCTCGAAGACCCAAAAGAAAGTCCAACCAAAACCCAAGAACAAATCTCAGAATAGAGGAAGATCGTCCTTGGGAGCAGTGGGGCAGATCAATGGATCCCTGGGTTTCAGCGCGAATAACATGTACATTTACAACAACCCCAGAACCCTGGGCCCAGTGTACGATCTCACTGATCCGCATATAATGAAGACCATGTCAAATCTAAAGGAGATGGAGAAACAGCTCATCAAAGCGGCCTTTTCGCCTAGTGGCGTCAAGGGAGCCAGCGGAGGAATGGGATCCTCTGCCCCAAGTACGCCTTCGCGACAATGACAATCGGGTCCGGTCGCACAGCAGCCAATTCCAGCTGCAGTGACGGCCTTTTACAATCAGGAGGCGATGGCTGCTGCCATCGTGCTCTCGACGATGAGCCACGCCTCGCCGCGCTACGACCTGCTGGCTAACGGATCCGTCTCCATGTCAGCTGCCCAAGTGGGAGCCTCTGCCAACACACTGCCACAAGTATTTGTTAAGCCCAGCCTGCCGCAACCCAGCGCTGCCGGCGAAGTGGTGACCACGAGTGGAGCTGCTCACCCGCCCACGAAACAACTGCCCACAAAGTTCATATAGCTAGGGTCACTCAGCTCGTTCCCTTGCGATTCTAATCTAAGATTCTAGAGCTGGTTCTAGGTAGGTTTCATTCGCAGCTGTGTCTGCCTTCCAATCATTTGCACCAGTTTAATTATTGTTTTCTCATGAGTCGTTTACCTACTAAGTCAGTGTACTTTGCAAACATTAACAAAGCAAATTTATATATATTTTTATTTATAGAGAACCATTTTTATTAAATAAAGACGAATAAGTTATGTAATAAAAGTAAATTAATAGGCGCTCTTTTACACACGGCAAATATATGTATATAGAATTGATACAAAATTAGTTCTGTAAACCCAAAGATAACGCTAAAACCAGCGACTGCCGAGAAACTCCGACACACTGTCACAGAAACGATAACTTAGCCTAATTTGTAAAAGATAACACACGTGTCTGTTGATGATATTGCCGGAGGATCAGGGTTTGGTTGGTCTGGGATTACTTGATCCACCGCAGCACCGAAGTGGCCGCCATACGCACGAATGCAATGGTTGACTGCTGGTTGGCTGCCGGCATTAGATTAGGATCTGCCAACTCCGGCTGAGGAGTAAGACTCGGCACCGCTTCCCAATCCATGCGCAAGGAGTTTTCATCTAAAAATCGTTACATTTTTCAGATATTATTTTTAAATAGTTAAATGAATTTTTTGTATTAAATCTTCAACTCACCCTCGGACTCCGATTCCGTGGCCGTTTCGATGCCGATTAGTAGGGAATCCACTGACTTCATAAGCGGTGCATTGGTAACGTCCAGATGGCCGAATCGACCCAGATCGCTACGCTCCAGGTCCAAGATGGCCAGTAGGTTTTCCAACGTATGCTGTTCGATCAGAGCGCGCAACTTGACCTGCTGCGTATAAGCCAGATACATGATATTGGAGTTGAGGCGCGAGATCTTGCGCCGGAACTGCTCCTCGTTAAGCAGCTTACGGCAGAAGTCTCCGTAGGCGATCTTGTGCGGCAATCGCACGTTCAGGTAAAAGCTGAGCAACTGTGTCAGCTGTGCCGTATAGGTAAGAGCGCCTACAATACGGTAGGCCTCAAACCGACTAGGCGTAATCTCGTTTGCGGTGGCCTTGGGCACATCATCCTTGTTGTCTGCCAACCAGTCCAGGTAGGCGGTATAGTCGCCATTTGCTGGCAACGAAGGTCCCACAATTCTGTATTGGACTTCACTGATCCCGCTGCCGTGGAAAACCCATTTACCGCGTATGTATGATGTATTTTTGGCATCGGCCAGTGCCGCTATGGTTTCGGCCTCCTCGCTGCGCTCCACGCTGGCCCTTCGTTGTTGCTCCTCCTTGAGGACTACCTCGGCTATAGGAAACACATATGTGACCAGCTGCTGAATGCTTCGTCGTGCCGCCTGCTTAATGCTGTCCAGGAGCCCTAGGTGGGTTTCCCTGAGTTTTTCTATTTTCTCAACGCGATCCAACACATAGTCCTCGAGCATCTTTACCTTATCAGGGTATTTGGGTAGATTCTTTCGCTTATCGGCATTGGCACGACGCAATTCGTCACGACGCTCACCCAGAATACGCAATCTCTGTCCCGTTCCTGAGATGAGTTGCTGTAGGAGCTCCAGTTGCTTTCGCTTGGCCTTAATGGCCATCAGTCGATCCTCGTTGGAGCGGTGCTGCTCTATGAGGCGCTCGTAGCGCGTACTGAAGGTTTTAAGACCCGCCTGCAGGTTGATGTACCGCTGCTGCTTCTCCGTTAGACTGAAATATTTTAAGATCTATTAAGATTACATGTGTTTTCCTGATAAGGTGACTAGCAAACCTTTCGGGCCTTTCCGCCTGACTGTGAGTAATGTTTCCGTTTCTGACGCAATTGCGACAGTGAAATCGGCTAGAGCTGCAGCTGTGGCACAGGGGGCACCGCATATGGGCACCCATTCCAGTAGTGGCTCCCGCATTTTTGGTGCTCGCATCCTTTAGCAGATCCTTCGCCGTAGTTCTGCGCTTTGTTGTGTATCCTGCAACATCGCTGGACTCCTCGTCTTCGCCGTTTGTGGAGGCACTCGATATGCGGAAGTTGTCGGGGGCCTTGCAGCTTTCGTCTGAGCTGGAACTATTTGCCATTACAGCCAGAGCATTGCATTTATTGTTATATCTTTTGTTATTGTTAATTTTATTATCGTTCTTCGATATGCTGTCGTTATCGATTAGTTTGATATCGGAAAAAGTTTGCTGTCGTAAGTGTTGGCCAGTGTTAGAGAATGTTTGGGTAAAAAATAGTACTGAAAAACCATTTCAGAGCTGCAAAAGGGCGCTGCTTTCAAACCTTAATAATGGCTAAGTAAATTTAAGTTTCGGCTTTATAATTTGAAGGGTTTAAATTAAATCTGCATCCTTTAACTTAAATAGAACATTTGTTACACAGCTTTAGCGTATTTAAATGTTTTCGTTTATTTCACAAGAGATTTCTATAACCAAATAATTAAACTAGAAAGTTCGAAAAAGAAACAAAACCCGTTATCGGTGCTGCTTGATTTTCAAAACATTGAATTTCCAGTTCGGTGCACTATTATGGGAGGCAGCTCGGTTAGACCAGAGGCAGCGTTTCGAAGAGGACTGTAAATTTATTTAGCTCGGGGTACTGATCGTGCGGCTAACCGTGTATCCCTACTTGGCTGCGGCCACAGCCTTTCCTGCCTTTCCGCCCAGGACCTTAAGGGTCGCCTCCACTACATCCTGCACGCGGGGCAAAGCATGCGCCTCCAAAGTCTTAGCATAGGGCATCGGCACATCTACGCCGGCACAGCGCCAGACAGGGGCGTCCAGCTCAAAGAAGGTCTGGTCTTCCATAATGCGGGCGCAAATCTCAGCTCCGACGCCTAAGAAATAAAAATAATTTATTAATATCGAACAGAAAACATAAAAAGTACTGTTTGGATTACAATTTACTTAAAATTATAACTATATAATATATATTGATATATATAAGATTTACTGAATATAAGATCTTACTTATCTTAGCAAGATCACTTACCGTGCTGAGGCCAGCCGTTCTCCACGGTGACAAGATGGTGAGTCTTCCGAACAGAGGCGAATATAGTCGCCGTGTCCAAGGGACGAATAGAGCGCAGGTTGATCACCTCGGCCTCAATGCCTGAGTTAAGAATATAACAAAACGATAGCTGATTTTCTAATCATTACAATTACGCAAAATCCTACCCTTCTTGGCCAGTTCGGCAGCCGCCAGCAGCGATGTTTCCACCGCCTTCGAATGCGCCACAAGGGTGATGTCCTTGCCCGGTCGCATGATCTTCGCTTTACCAATAGGCACGACGAAGTCCTTGTCGGCCACGTTGTCAGCCACAGGGAAAGCGGTACCGTAGACCAGTTCGTTCTCCAGGAACACCACTGGATCGGGATCGCGTATAGCAGCCTTCAGCAAGCCTCGGGCATCCTCGGAATCGTAGGGCGAGATGACCTTCAAACCTGGGCAGTGCGCATACCAGGCGGCGAAGCACTGGGAGTGCTGGGCGGCCACACCAGAAGCGGCACCATTGGGTCCTCTGAACACAATCGGCACGTTGACGGCACCAGCGGACATGTAAAAGGTCTTGGCGGCCGAGTTTATGATCTGAAGATTGCAATAAGAGATTTCTATTATATTTGGGAAATATTTATCGTTTATCAAGGGAACCCTTTGTTTAATAATGAACTTATGGGAATAGGGAACTTAAAAAAATTTATGAGGCCAAAATAATGAAGTTTTTAAAGGTATGTAGAACCTGTTTGAAGTGAATCCTCGCTCCCACTAACTGTCTAATAGCAAATCAAATTAATACTTTAAGTCGCACTTTATTTTTAACACTCAGCTTCACTTCCACCTCGATCTTTACTTAATTCCTAGTTTTTGCTTAATGACAAATGCTGGTAGGCGGCGTCCCTTCCAGAACCGCGGCAAAGGCGTTTCATTGGCCTGTCGAAGGACCTCCGACACGTGCTGTTCCGCACTAAAAGCCTCTGCCTGCTTGATCTGAGCCATGAGCTTGCCCTGGAAGGCCTTTTCCTTCCGCATTTCGCGACGTTGGCGCACTTTGGCCCATTCGAACTTCATTTTGCGGCGCAGCTTCTTAAGCTTGTGCTTCTTCATCTTGCGCCGCCGGATGACTATGAGGCGAGCTGCCTCCATTTTATCAGGCTTGCTTTTGTCCAGCGGTGGGGCAATCACCTCGCCCACTCGATCTCTGTGCAGGATGTCGTTGATTTCGTTGAGCCAGGTGGAACGAGGACTTTCAATAATGTGGCTCAAAGGCAGCGGACGATCCCCCACTGGCGGCCTGGCGCAATCGAGTATCTTTTCCTGAACGTAATCGGATAATATGGGTGGGGATTAGTGAGGTCCGATCTACTATTAGGGCAGGAGCTAATCCACCCATATTATCCCATTAAGCGCCGCGGAATGATCTTGCAGTTGAATTGGTCTATTAGTTAGCTAGTGGAGTTTTGGGGCATTCGGATTTCATTTTCGTGGTCTTTTGTTTTACTTTTTATTGGCAATGAGATAATATGAGTAGTTAGCCTACTGCTGGAGTGCGGGAAGTGGTTTTTAGGAATAAGATGACGAAACTCACGTGATCGATAGCCTGCATGGAGAAGTTCCAGGTCATGAACTCGCAAACTGGGCGCAGACCGGCCATGGCGGCTCCAACGGCGATGCCAGCGAATCCCATCTCTGTGATCGGCGTGTCAATGACACGCTTGTCGCCGTACTTTTTCCACAGTCCACGAGATACCTAAGGCATAATGAAATATTGATTTAGATATTAGAATAAAAACAAATATATTTTTATGCAGAATGATTATAAATCCTGATATACTTATTACCCTTCAAAAGTAAAGTCTTTACAACAAAAATTAAATATAAAATTATTTTTTACATTTCTATTCAACTGTTTAATCTCTCAAGTGTCTTTATAAATAAGCAAGTATTTGTTAAACCTTGTTACAGCTCGGAACAGTTCAGTTTATCCTTACAGACATAACAAATTGATAACGCCTTTACTCTGAAGATGTTATAGATCTTGTAATTATGAAATATATAATTAATAAGAATATCTCAAAATCCATTTGTCAACCATATTGCTATTTACCGCCACTCAATCCGCCCACATATGGGTAAACAAATCGCGATTTTATGGGGCAATTAAGTATTATCAGCAGACAGTCACACACATTCTGCATGACCTTGTCAATTTCGATCACGCATTTAGATTCGGGCCGTCCTATTCGGAATCATTATCAGTAGTTACATATAGCACGCATATATCACCCCTCGTTCTTCCTACTCCCCCTATCCTATCATCTGCATCAGCTGTCAACGCAATCGCCTGGCTGGTGTTTACGTAATCAGGGGACGGGAAAAGTTTACTGCCATGCCTTACCTTGTAGGCACCATCGTACTGGGCCACTTCTTCGCCTAGGATGAAGACCCGGTCGTCGCGGGCCAACTCATCATCCAACGCACTGTTGAGTGCATCCCGCACGGTCATTTGCTTAGCCGCCAGCGCTTTCTGGCTGGTGGAGAACGCCCGCTGGGCGGAGCTGGCCGCCTGGATGAGTCGGGATCGGAGCATCGTCGGCTTGTGGTTCGCTTTCCTATGGGTCTATTGGTTTCGTATCCGGCTACAGGTGTAATTTTTAAAGCTTCAGAGCTATTATCTAACTTAAATGTACAATGATTTTACGCACCGACTTCCGTCCCGAAATTTTGACGTGAAAATGCAGTGTGTGACCAGAGATGCACGCTTAAAATGTACTAGTTTTCGAATGCTCAAGAATATACCAAATTGAATGTGGTCACTCTTTGAAACTTTTTTAACTGAATACCATTAATAAAAAAAATTATCGATAACGCTATTGTCGTTGTATCGGCAGAAGGTCTAAAAATGCTAAAATAAAAAGTTTCAGAATTTTTTTATTTCGCGTAGAGTGCGCCGAATTAGTATATATTCTTAGCTTATTAAATATTAATAATTGCATCAGCACGTAAGAGATGATTAGTTGGTGAAAAAGCATACTAGTTGGAGAGGCCTTCACTGGCAGCGGCGCATAGCAATCGATTTTTATTCTAGACGAATGTGTGGAATTTCCCAGAGAACTTTACCACTCATTTACCATATAGGAAGGCGCAATGAAGGAAGGTGGTCATATAACGCTAACGCTCTCGACGGGATCGCCGACTTCAGTGGACGAGCGGGGAAGGAAGAGCCTGCGGCGGGTGTGTAGAAACCGGAAGATTTGCTCCTCCACAATCTTGGATTAAGTCAGGCACATATCTATTTCCCTCAATTTAGGCTTGGAATCAGTTGCCGCGGTGTCAGCGTAATCTCATTATTCTAGGCATAACTGCATTTTGTGTGACGGTGTTGCTCTGCTTGAGTGGCGATCAGTTGTTGGCCGCCAGTCTAAGGGATGTGGACCAGAAGGCCGTGGTGGCTCCATATCAAATGCCCCAACCAAATCCGCACCATCATCCCGGAATTAATAAGAATATCCCCGATGACACTGCAGCGGATCCTGCTCTGGAAGATAAAAGACCACCCCGGGCGGAGCCTCTTAGTGATAAGGTAAATAAGAACCCATATAATTGATAAGTGCTTAATTGACTAAGTGCCTATTAAGATAGCACGCCCATTGGGGTTTTGATTTATTACCGGCACACTTCCAGTGAAATTTTATAACGATATCATTTATCAATTTTAGTTTAATGATATTGCCTACGGTGAAGCGAACTCAGCTGAGAACGTGGTTCGTCTGCCAGAGACAGTGGCTGCCCAAGGACCACCGCAGGCAGTAGCCTTGCCTCCGCCGGAGAATAAAAGGGAGCAGGAAATGGGAGGAATCGACATCCTAAACAATGTGGAGGAGCCCGTCGCACAGGAGCCAACGGAGCCGCTTAGCGAACGTGAGCAGCTCGATCAGGCTATAAAGAGTCCACTGAATCTGGGTGGGGTCAGCTTCAAAGAGCACCTTAAAAAGATTAAGCCTATCCTGGCCAAGGGTCAGCACTTCCATGGAGCCACCAACGAACGACAGTCAGCGGTGGTGACCGCCTTCAAGCACTCCTGGGCGGGCTACAAAAAGTACGCCTGGGGACATGACAACCTGAAACCCATCTCCCAATACTCCCACGAGTGGTTTGGTCTGGGACTAACCATTGTAGATTCATTGGACACTATGTACATCATGGGACTGGATGACGGTGAGTTAGCGTTTTGTCGATTGTTTATTGCCTTTTTCCTTATGCTCACGAAATCGTAATATTCACTTGTCAATAATACGCATACCTTTTCACCAAAGAATTCAAGGAAGCACGCGACTGGGTAGAGCACTCACTGCGTTTTGATACTAAGCGCGATGTGAACCTCTTCGAGGTGACCATAAGAGTCCTTGGCGGATTGCTGTCTGCCTATCACTTGAGCGGCGACACAATGTTTTTAGCTAAGGCAGCGGAATTGGGAAACCGTTTATTGCCCGCCTTCCTATCTCCATCAAATATTCCATATTCGGATGTTAACCTTGGTGATCTTTCGGCACATTCACCCAAATGGTCACCAGATAGCTCCACCAGTGAAGTCACCACCATTCAGCTTGAGTTTCGTGATTTGAGTCGGTCCACAAACATTTCTGTTTATGAACAGGTAGATATCTCAGTAAAAGACAAGGCATACTCGTATTTATAAGGCAATTGACGCTATTTAGGTCGCTCACAAAGTAAACGAAAAGGTCCATGATTTGGATAAAAACCATGGACTTGTACCCATATTCATCAACGCCAACACAGGAACTTTCCGAAACTATGCCACCATTTCCCTCGGTGCACGCGGTGATTCATACTATGAGTACTTACTAAAACAGTGGATACAGACAGGTCGCAAGGATAACGATAAGTAAGTATTAAATGTCTCTCTAAACGTCTTATCAGAGATGTTTAACTGTAGAAAAAAACACCTGGCTAATTACCAAGTGTTATGTGTTTATTTTATTCAGCCTCTGTTTATTATTTATTTTAGTCTCATTCTGGATTATATGCAAGCAGTGGATGGAGTACTAACACAACTGATGCGACGTACGCCACGCGAGCACTGGGTTTACATTGGCGAGCTGATCAATGGCAAAGATTTCAAGCCAAAAATGGACCACCTCACGTGTTATCTGCCTGGCACTTTGCTTTTGGGTCACCAGAACGGTATGCCGGACTCTCATCTAATTCTTGCACGGGACTTATTGGATACATGCTACCAGACCTACATGATGAATCCCACACATTTGGCAGCAGAGATTTCTTACTTTGCGCTAACAGAAAAGGATGATCAGGACATTTACGTAAAGCCAAACGATGCCCACAACCTGCTGCGCCCAGAATTTGTGGAAAGTCTTTATTACTTCTATTCGTTAACTGGCAATCGCACATACCAGGACATGGGATGGACCATATTCCAGGCGTTTGAAACTCACGCCAAAGTAAATGCAGGCTACACATCTATGGGCAATGTGAAGAACACACAGAACACGCGCCTTCGTGATCTGATGGAGAGCTTTTGGATGAGTGAGACCCTCAAGTACTTCTACCTTCTGTTTAGCGACGACCGTAAGGAAATCGACCTGGAGCAATGGGTCTTCAACTCGGAGGGCCATCCACTTCCGGTCTATCCGCTCAAGACTTAACTACCGCCTAAGAGAAACAAATAGAGGACAGCGCAACTTAGTTGCGCCAGCGAAACTAACGAAGTCCACGCATTTAGGCTGCAACAATCGTTTAACTCGAATTCGTACTTTAGCGCAAATGCCAAATACTATGCTAAGCTTAGGGCTGGGCTAGGCACAGTTAGCCAATCGAATAAAGCAATGCCTAACATTAAGATGGATCGATGAGAATCATTTCTAATCGCAGGGTCAAAAAGTTCAGTAGGTAACATTTCGTTTACTGCTATACAAAAATGTTTAAAATTTTAACCAAATATATATATTCAAGGCCAGCAATCTTAATTATCCGTTAGCTATGGAATTATATATTATTCCAATAGAATACACCATAATTATTTGCCCCAGCGATTTTGAATGGAATAACATCATCGATCCATCCCATCTTCCTATTTAACGTCATTTTAAAATCGGTAGTGATCGGTTTTATAATATGCTTTGTACTGATGTTATTTTGTAATAATTTATTTCCTACTATAAGCACCTACTGGAACATGATATTGGGCCAATTCTAGCCCGTCTTATTAGCCAGTAGCATGAGGTTTTAACCTTGTAATTTCACTTGTAGTTAATTGTCTATGTTTATGTTATCATCATGATATTAGGAAGTCAGTTGCACGCAGCACAAAGCCGATTTGTGTGTAATTTTAAATGTACGAAATAAACGAATCTCAAAAAAAATGCGATGCCAAGAACGTTTTCGATCCCATTGTCAACCTGTGGTATTGAAAACAAACCCGATAATAAAATGCGATAGTTTTTAAAAGTGTATGGAATTTTCTTTATTTTCCTAAGAACATTTCACCCAGTACAAACGCAAATGCATGAACTTTGATTGCATTTCCTTTTTTATTTAGTTTCAGTTTTCAGTTGGGTTTTCGGTTTTGTTGCGTTTCAGTGAGATTTTTATATTGAATCTGTTTTGTTTTATGTACTTAATGTTTATGACGACTATGAATGGATGGTCTTAATAAACTATCAAATATTAAAGTTGTTTTCTTTGCTTTGCTGTCTCTCTCTCCCTATGTTGATGATGTTTAATTAAAACTCACAATGTTTCTTTAAAAATCTTTAGTTTTCTCTTTATGTTAAATTACATTTAGACACATTTAGCTGAACAATTCAAATGACGACCATGCTCTTTGTTGTGGTTTTTGTTTTTGTTGTTGCGGAGTGGCGTATGCGGGAGGGGCGATCGATTTGAGTTATGGTTATGGATTTTGTTCTAAATACAACTTAAAACAATTCGCGTTAATAATCTATCAATTAAATTTAAATTTATTCAGTTTTGGGTTGCCAACTTAAATTATGCTATTACATATACATTTTTACACGAAAGTTATTTGTCTTTGAATAATAACTAGAAAGTTTCAAAATAGAAATACAAGATCATGCAACTCAGCCGGGACGCTGGACAGGTGGGAGAGTTTGTCTTGAGGAAGGGTGATGGATGATGGGTTACGGAGGTTATGGTTCAGGTTCAGGTTAAGGGGTCATGGATGGGTGGCCTGAATAAACGAAGCACATCTTAAAATATGGTACCTCTTGAAGTTCCCTTACAGACTACACCGTAATACAAGCATTCCGTCTCCATGGTAGTACGTATCGTAGTAGGTGTGTTAGTGGTGGTATTAAAGTAGTAGTTAGTATTGAAATTGGTATGTAATTGATGCGTGCCACCCGAACATCCCACGCCAAACATTTACAATTGCTTTCGCGACACGCGATTTGTTTTTTTTTTTTTTTTTGATAAACTTCGTAGTGGCTTACTGAGTGTGTGGGTTTTTGTATAGACTTTAATCGTATTTATTATTTATGTTTACAAGCTAATCAGACATCTATATTTAAAATGTGGCACAAATCACAAGTCAGATTTGTCGCAAGATCAAGATACAATTGATACGATTCGTTAAATTGTTTTGTTATTTGTTTTCCTGTGGATCCTCATCTCAATATTCTTCGCTAATCGTTTCAATCGATCGGTTTAAGTGTATAAGATATTACATTAGATTCAATAATTTATAAATGTTTAAACTAAATTGGCTAAAATTGTGATTTTTGAACTGCTTTTGGTTTGCTTCGTAGTTTGCCATAGTTGGTACTTGTTAATCCCTAAGATCTTTGCATTTGCTTTCCAATGACACCCGTAGCTATGCCGAAATATTCTTTACTCTCGAATTGAGCACGTCGATAAGTTGGTTGGTTGGTTGGTTGGTTTGTTTGTCTGTAATATCAGAAGCAGTCGTACGTGAAGCGCTTTAAATGATATATCCTTCTTAAAAATGCTTAGCTATATATATTTATAATCTTGTTGGACAGTTCCCTGGGGCGCGACTGAAACTGCTGCATGCTCTAATTATTTACAAAACTCTTTCGCAACGTAATGCGTAAATAAATATATACTATTTATATGGGCTTCTAAAAATCGATTGGATGCGGATAAATTGCTCTGCCTGATATTCCAACGACAACAAAATTGGCAACGTGATTTTAATTGTTTCTCAGAATTGCTTCAAGTAACTTAATTATGAATTATACAACCAATTTGTCTTCATCTCCCTTTTCTTTTTACGTGTTTTTCTTCTTCTCATCAATCCCTTTTCTTTACGTACTTTGCTTGGTTTCAATTGAATAAATTGTCTAGGGGCTTTCTCTTAGTTACTGTAGCTAAATAATTTATTATATTACGTTCCATTTAGTGTACCTCTGTGAGAAGCATTTGATGCTATTCGTCGTTTAGTTTTCAATTCACCACGTCAATTGCTTTCTTGGCTTTATTGGGGCTCTGTCACATTATTGATGCCTTCACTTTCACCCTTCTTTCTTTCTCCTTTCCCCTTGCATAAAGTAATTGGTAATTTGAAGGTTGTTTAAATATTGTACAAAACATTGGACTAAACAATACAAACAATAAGAAAAAACAATTTATGCTACGGTCTCAACTTAGGTCTAATTAAAGGTTGTACTGGGGGCAAAACAATAATCAAAGACAACTAAGAAGGGTATCTATACAATCAGGAAGTCATTATGATCAATCGTTTTTCACAAGGTGGTGGCATTAAACTCTAGAATCAGACTGTTGGATCCATTTTCCTGTGCGGATGTTGGAGCTCCAAGTCAGGAGGTCATTATCGACTTCACCGGATCGTCCAAACCGCCGGCCACGCAGCTAAAGTCATTTAGCTGCCCCAAATGCTGTGCCTGGGGCTGCGTCATGTTCTGGTGGTGATGATGTTGCATATGTGGCTGTTGCTGATGGTTCTGCATCATCTGATGCTGTTGATGGTGGTGTTCAAGCAGTATATTACTACTGTTGTCCGCCACGCCGCTAACCGTGGAACCACCGCCACTGATAAGGCAGTCGTTCATCTCCTCTCCCAGTTGGCGGCGACGTTGGATCACCTGCTCCTGCTGGCAGCTTGGCAGATTGCCGCCTGCCTGCCGCTGATCATCTAACATACTGTCACCAAGAATCGAGCCGAGGGAGAACTGTAGCGAGTCGCCGCTGTTTTGCAGATTAAGGATGCTATCAATGGCACTGGCGACATGACGACTGATGTCGTCATCGTACTCTCCACCAGCCACCACTGCTGTGCCGCCCATATGGTTGACATGCATCTGCTGCTGCTGTTGTATCTGTTGCTGCAGGTTGTGCTGGAAGTGTTGCTGCTGATGCTGTTGTTGCTGCTGCTGATCCATTATGTTGGCATAGGCAAAGTTGTGTTGCTGCTGTACCTGTTGTTGTTGCTGATGCTGCTGCTGCTCCATCAACATCTGGGGGAATCCAGCGGGTAGCATGTCCGAGTCCAAGAGACCATGCTGAGGCACCTGCTGCTGCGACGACATGGGCGATGAAGAGGAAGACGAAGAAGCTGTGCACAGACGCTTGCTGCTGTTGTCATCTTCCATATCGCTTCCGGATCCCATCAGTTGGCTATCCCAGCTCCGTTTTCGCGATTCTCCTCCATTCACCATCTCGCTGTTGCTCGTCCCACTAGAGAGAAAGTCACTGTAGTGCGCCTCCATGCTCTGCATCCATCGTGGATTATTGTTGCAGTTCAGTTCAATGTGATGTTGCTGCTGTGATGATTGCTGCGATCCTCCATATTGCTGTTGCTGTTGCGGCGCCTGTTGCTGCGGCGCTTGCTGCATAAATGTGGCATCTGGCACCCACATGTTCATCTTACTTTTGTGATTGGGAGCCGGAGACTTTGAATCCCCAAATATCACATCCAGGTTGGACTCAATGTCGTGGGCATCGTTGCTGCTTTTTACATCTAGGTGCACAGGCGACTCCCCGAACATGGCCTCCAGTCGCGTCTCCACAGACTTCTGTACATCCGAATCGCTGCTGAAGAACTCACTGATGGCTGGGTGCTCGTTTTGCTGTTCAGCATCTATGACCACAGGCTGTTCGCGCTGACCGCTGCACGAGGAGACAGTCTTGACAGGATTAGAGCCAGCATGGTTTTCACTAACGCAACTACTGTTGCTGCTGCTGGTGGTACTTTGGTTGCTCTTGTCAATGCATCCATTAGGAAACAGATCCGACATGTGGTTGCTATTGTTCATCATATTGTTAGAACTAGAGTTATCCAGGAAATGGGTTGGCTGCTGTTGCGCCGGCTGACGATTGATGGGCAAATGCTGCTGGTTTCCATTTAGCTGTTGCTGCGGCTGCTGCATGGGATCATTATTCATTAGATTGAGCTCCTTTTGCAGGCAGTACCAGCCATCATCCTGATCCACTGGATCAACTCCATTGCCTTTGATATGTTGCTGTTGCTGTTGGTCCAACAAATTTCTTTCCTGATAACGATTCTCAGCGCTCTTGGCCAAAGACGTTTTGGTCTCCACCTTTTTCATGATAAAGCTGGTGGTTAGCTCAGACTCGATATCGAAATTATCGTAGTCCTTCTTGATGTATTTTGTAGATTCTTCACTTCCTTCACTTTTCACAGATCCATTTACCGAAAGCCCGCCAGCTTCGTTGTTTTCTTCTTGCTTCACTGTAGCAGACTGCTGTGGTTGGGACTTGCTAAACGCTTTGTTGACATCACCACTATTTTTCAGTAGATCAAATTGGTCCACAATCCTGTCATGTTGACCTGACTTATCAATCGGTTCTTGTTTAATCTCCTCTTTAACTTTGCTCTCTGACTGATGATCACTGTCTACCGATGGCTTCTCGCTGCTCTGTTCCTCCTTTAGCTGCTGCTCCAACTCCTTCTCAGCAGTGCGAATGTCGTTGATCTCGCCTTTAAGGTCGTCGATCATCAGCTGTTGCATTTGCAGTATCTCCGAAGTGCGATGAGGTAACTATAAATTTATGATTATTAAGAGGTCATGCTTTTGAATAACTTTATAAGTGTTCTTACCGTTGATTCCTGCATTAGTATTTCCTGGAACTTTCCATTTAGCTGTCGGAACTTGTCCTGGAATCCCAGAGCTGTGGACTCAAACTCCTCATCTTCATCGGAGGGTAACTCCACATCGTTTTCGTGCATGCAATGGTACCTACAAAAGTAAAACTTCTTAGCAAAAAGTTCATCGATCAATATATCAAAGAGCGCCTTACCTGATCAGCCTTTTCACCGCTTCATCCTTAGTGCGGAAGGGCTTTACGTAGTCGGGCTTCAGACAACTCTCCTGGTCGACCTCCAGTTGACGCACGAATCTGCGAAAAGAACAAGAGTTAGTAAGTAGGTCAATAGTGCATTGCTATATCTGCAATCCAGTTGGCCGCTTTTCTTGAAATCGGCATTGTTCAACCAACTACTCACAAGGAGAGGCGTGCAATTTTGGGTTTCTGCGTTGGCATTTCGTCCATTTTGTTCGGCATGTAAAGTGGTATGCTTGGCAGTGATGGGACCAGATTTCCTATTGGTCCTTGCGGCACTCCTACTCCAACTCCCAGTGCAGGAACTGGTGGCAGGCTTGGTGTTGGTTGCTGCTGCATTTGCGGCTGCGGTTGCTGTTGGGGCTGTAATGGTGGCAGGGGCAACATGTTGTTCACTTGCATCACAGGATTACTAGTGAGAGTGTTGTTACTGTTGCTGTTGTTCAACAGATTTGTGGAACTGGCGAAGATCAGAGGTGGTGGTCCGCTTTTGTTAAGCAATGTTTGGTGTTGCGGCTGCTGTTGCTGTTGTTGCTGCTGGACAACTGGCAGCATATTTACTTTTTGCGGTAACATATTGATGCTTCCGTTGGGTGGATGTTGCTGCATTTGCTGCTGGTTTGGCTGCAACTGTTGGTTATTGGCTTTATTCCTGTTGGCCGGCTCTTTCGCTTTTATTTGGAGTTGCGATTGTTGCTCCTGCTGCGGTTTTGGTTGCGCCTGCTTTTGCTTGTTGGCTGCCTGTTGCTGCTGCTGTTGGTGTTGCATGGGATATATGTGTATCCTCTGGGTTACATTCTGCTGGGCATTGGGAGCACTTGCGGCACCACCGGTGACTGATCCTGCCGCTGTGGTGGATGAGTGGTTGTTGGGTTGAACCACATTGGCGGGCACGATGGTCTTCAGTGGCTCAGGAACCGTAGACTGCAACTGTGGCTGCTGTTGCTGTTGTTGAACTGGTTGTGCCATCAGGCTAAAGCCTCCGCTTCCATTTGCTGTTGGCAACATACCCTCCGGAGTGGGTACCTCCTTTCCGGAGGCCAGAATCCGGTGCTGCTCTGCAAAGAGTCGCTGCAGTGCCAGATTTATCTCAGCATCAGTCATCGGCTTGTTGTATGCTGCAATGGTCGCCGGATCAATTTCCGGTGAAACCGGCAGGAAAGTCGTTTTATTTTGCAACTTTATCGTGAGGAACTGAATCTGCATTTGGACCTGCTTGAAAATCTGTTGCATCTGCGGTGTAAGTTGGATCGTCTGCACCCGGGAGACAGTGTTTGGTTGCGGCTGTTGCTGCTTGGTAGCCTGCAACTGTGGCTGTTGTTGCGGCTGCAGCTGCTGCTGCAGTTGCTGGGGTGGCAGTTGTTGCAATTGGAGTTGGCTGACTCCAGAAGCTACTGTAGGAGACGGCATCGGGGCAGGTGTAGCCACTGTGGTGGTCAAGCTGAAGCTCGTCCTCTGTTGCTGCTGCTGTTGCAATATCGCAGCCGTGCCTGTGGGTTGTTGCTGCTGCATGGGCACCGTAACGCCCACCAATTTGGTGCCACTCGTAGTTTGAAAGGGCTGGATGCTGGCGCTCATTGTAGTCGTGGTGGTTGTTGTGCAACTTGAGCTGCCCACCACAATCATCTGCTTGCCACTGGCGACATTTGGTTGCACAATCTGCACCGGATTATTGTTGGGCTTCTGCGAGAGGGGATCCAACTTTGGCATCGGTTTAACTACGCTGGCGTTCTTGAGATTGGCCAACTCTGAGGCATTGGTTGGCGTGGCCTTCGGTTTTCTCACCGGCTTCTTCTTGGCCACAGCTCCACCGGCAGTTCCACTGGTAGCTGCCTTAGCTGGCTCCAGTTTCGCTTTGCTTTGATCTATTATCGGCGCCACATTGGCCACCTGCTTGGTCACCGTGGTTAGTGAGGTTGTGCTAGTGGTAGTGGTTAACGTGCTGGTGGCCGTTGTGGTGATGGCTAATCCGTTGGTAATTGGTTGGATGGGATGCACAATCTGCTGCTGCGGTGGCTGAGGACGCAGTGGCATAGAAAGTGTCATCGAAGATGGGGCACCATTTGTCGTCAACTGTTGCTGTTGCTGCTGAGCGGGCAGTGGGTTCACATCATTAAAATGGAGTTGTCCCAACTGTAGACATTGGGCCAGCTGTTGGGCATTGATCCCGGCCGGAGCAATGAGCAGCCGCTCCGTGGGTCCAATCGAAGCTGCCGTCTGACCCGCACTCATCGCGGTTATCTGGTTGGTCACGCTGTTCAGGCAGAACAACTGCTGAGTGGTGGGATCGATGGGCGGCAGGGCAATGTACCTCTGCTGTCCGCTGTTGGCCAATTGTGGAGGAGGCGCCGGAGAGGGTATTGGAACGGTAATGCTTGCAGGTTGAGTGGGCAGAGTCACGGGCACAGTTACTGGTTGTAATTGTGGCTGCAACTGGGCCGGAATCAACGGCTGCTGCTGAATAAGAACCTGTGAGTTTAGCGGTAGCGGCGGGAAAGATACCACTTCGTTTGGCTTGGCGGGCAGCGTGGCCGGTGGCTTCATAGTAGACATGGTCGTTGTAGTACTAGTCATTCCTAGCATACTGCTCGCAGGATGTGCTCCCTGACCTGACAGCTTTCTGTTGTTAGTCACTGAAAAAGGTAACATAGAACTGTTAGCTTAATTAAACTAATTTGACACACTTTTCTAAGGTGACTTGTAAAAACTGGGAATCCTTGCTTCACTTTCTAATTCTAAATATGGCTTAAGATTACTTACCTTTAACTTCTATTTTGGGAGCTGTTGAAACCTTGGGTTGAGACTGTTGCTGCAGGATGGGCTGTGGCGGAGCCAGTTGCTGTGGGATTTGGAGGACCTGCTGTTGTGGCTGCAACATCGGAGTTGGCTGCTTGTTAGGATCCACGCGCGTCGGCTCATTAATGATGGTTACATTAGGAAGGGCGCCTTTAAGAAGAGCCTGAAGAATGAGCTGCGATTGATGGTCCTGGGGATTGTTGGGATCATGTCGCAGAATCAACCGCTCGCATTGATCCGACACTGTCAGCGTTAGACTTCCAGTAAGTTGAGGCACCAGAGCAGCAGCCGAGGCAGGAGATCCCACTGAAACCGATACATTGGCGGGCATTCCAGTTAATTGTGGCGGCAGAATCGTAGCTCCTCCGGCGGTTAATGCAGGCGTTGGTGTGGACACCGGTGGTTGGGCTGCACTTGCTGTTGCCGGGGGAGGTGTGGCCTGTGGTATGGCCACCAGTTGCATCTGCCGACCATCGCTGGATAGTTTAAAGCCAGTAGATTCTGTACTAATCGTAGGCGCCACCGAAGGAACCGTTGGCTGGAAGACCAACTGGGTTGATTGGGTGGCGGGCGCATGACTTCCAGTTCCTGGTGTCCCACCCATCACCGTAGCTCCCGGTGGCAGAATCGGCATTATCTGGATCTTGTTTTCCACCGCACTGCTTATCGGCAATGCGGACTGGTGATGATTATGCACCTGCGAGATCTGGATGTTGCCAATCTGACTAGGCACTGCCGTCGGGGTACCGTGTGTCAGCATGAGGGTGGGATTGCTGCTGCTGGTCACTGGAGAAGGTGTGGTCAGCGTGATGGTGTTTACTGTGGTGGGTTGGCTGTTGTTCAGAATGGTGCTGGTGCTACTGCTGATCGTGGTGGTAGTGCCACTGCTCGAAGAGATCATGGTGCTGCCGCTACTGGTTACCTCCGGTTTCTTGGCGTTCCTCCGAACGGCGGGTTTCCTTCTAGGCTTTACAGTCGCCGTAGTGGACACCTGATTGGACGTGAGTGCAGGAGTTGGTGTGACCATGGGTGACGGTGTTAACTGCGGTTGCAGCGTCATGCTGGGTAAGCTGATATTTATGGTTGGTGTGGCAGTGGTAGCCTTAGCCGCTGCAGCAGCAGCTGCCGCCTGTTGCGCCAAATGTTGCTGCGCCTGTTTCTGGATTTCCTCTGCCGTGGGCAGTCGGGGAGTGGATAGACCAAATGGCGGCACTGCTGCCTCCGCACTCGGATCGATCTTGATGAGGATATTTGGTATTTCGGTGGCTGATTCGTTTCCCGCTTGATTTCCCGTTGAAGTTTGGGGCTGTGGAGCGGGAATGGTCAGGGTGAAGGGCAGACCATCGCTGCCGTTTTGGTTCGGTATGGAGATCATGATGTCGCCGCTGCTGCCTGCCGTCGATCCTCCGCTTGGAGTCGCCTGGACCTGCGCTGGCTCTGGTTCTGATGCTAGCCCTGTGTCTAGGCCCATCCCATAATCCTCATCGTCGTCATCATCGCCAGTAATTCCACAAAATTTCATCACATCTCCGAGATCCAACTTTCCGTTGCTACTTCGCTGGATGGTGGTGGGCGGTGGCGATGGTGACTTCGGCCGCAAAGTTTGAGGCGGTGTGGGAGTGACTGCGATGGCTATTTTCTGGGGCGTCGGTGGTCTCACTTCAACGGGCACAACTGTCGGAGTGGTGGCTACTGCAGGAATTGGAACTGCTGCTGGCACCTGCTTCTTTTTGCGGGGTCGTGGCTTCTTCTTAGGCTCTGGGACAGTTGTCGCCTGGACAGATTGTTGGGCCTGCTGCACCTGGGATTGTGTTTGCTGTAATTGATGCTGCAGCTGCTGGATCTGCGCCTGCTGTTGTTGTTGTTGCTGCTGCTGCAACTGGATGGTGGCCATTGCTGCCTGCTGTTGCTGCTGCATCATGGGCACCGGCGTTGGCTGTCGCAATGGCTCCGGGGTGACAGCCAGCGGCACATGTGCTGGCGAGGATTGGGTGAATAGCTCCGTCGTGTTGGCAGATCCGCCGTTGTTGGTTCCTGGAGCCTGCGGTGTCTGGAAGGCGTTGGTTATCTGCTGTATGTGTGCCCCATTCAGTTGATTTAGATTAATGGTGGCTCCACCCAAACTCTGTTGCAGGTGAGCTGGCAATTGAGAGATGGCGGTGAGGCCATTGGGCATTTGGATTTGGGCCGTTGCCAATTGCAGATTCTGCAGGGCCATACCTTGGCCAAGAAGCTGTGTGTTCAATGTGGCTGTCGTGGCAAACTGCTGAGATCGTGGCGCCTGCGCCTGGGCTTGGGCCTGTGCTAGTGCCGCATGCAGACCCGTTATCTGCGTGCCAGGCTTGATGGCGCTTTGGAACTGACCTGCCGCCGTCTGCTGGATAAGGTTCGCCTGCGAAGACACTATGAAGGTGGGCGCGGCAGCCAGCTGCATGGTCGCTCCATTGGTGCCCACTATCCGCAACAGTTGCTGCTGCGCAGGCTGCGTCTGCAGTTGTGGTTGTCCCCGGGCATTCTGCTGGATGACCAGAGAGGGCGTGGTCGTTAGCTGAGGCGTGGGCGGACGCAGGATCAGCTGCACGCCCTGCGGATTCTGCTGTACCAGCACGGGCATCTGGTTAAGGAGCAACTGCTGTGGCTGGCTAGTGGTGGCAGGTAACAGGATCTGCTGCTGTTGTTGTTGTTGGGTGGGATTGTTGGCCTGGCCAGTTTGTTGTGGCGACTGCGAGATCTGTGCTCCACCAGCGGTCGAGCCCTTCTTCTGCTGCTGGAGCTCCTGCTGCGGCTTGGGCAGAATTTGTTGCGGCGCCTTTCCATTCTTGCCGGTGGGCATTCCCGTGACTCCGGCATTGCTAACGAATCGATGTTGCTGCTGCTGGAGAGGCTGTGATTGCTGCTGTTGCTGTTGTTGCTGCTGCTGCTGGATGGGCTGCTGTTGCTGCGGAGTGGTGGCTATAAGCTGGCCCTGCGGTCCCTGAATAAACTGGAAGACCTGCTGCGCCTGCTGCTGTTGCTGCGGCTGCTGGGAGATAGTGAACTGTTGGGGTAGCATCTGCATGGGTTGTGGCTGCGGAGTTGGAGGCTTAATCGCAGCCGCTGCAATGGTGCCGCTAGGACTCGGGATGGGACTGTCCGCTATCAGAGGACTACTGCTCTGGTAGTGCTGGAACTGTTGCTGCTGTCCCTTCTGTCCCTTCGCCGGACCTTTGGCGCTGCTGCTGACCACACTGCCGGCCGCGGCGAACGAGGTGGGTGTGCTGATGGCGGTGGCATTGAACTGTCCATAGCCTCCTCCGCCGGCTGCCACCGCAGTCGCACTGCTGATCGAGGTGGGTGCAACGGCGCTGCTAAAGATCTGATGACCCAGCTGTTGCTGTTGTTGCTGCTGCTGCTGCTGCTGTGTGGCCCGCTTTGTGCCCTTCTGTAATTGAAAGTTAAACAAATTATAGTTTAAAATATTTTTTAGTTAATATCAATCATAAATTTAGTCAATGAACTAGGTTATCTCTGAAAAACCTACCTTGTTAAGCTGGATATTATTGGATCCCACCAGAGTGGCATTCAGCTCGTTCCCGATGGCATTGCCGTGCAGGGCTACACCAACTCCGGAACTGCTCCCAGCTCCTATTCCGGCTCCAGTTCCTCCGGCGGCGGTGGCTATGAGGCCACCACTGGTCACGCCGATAACCGTCGTGGCAGCGGCCGGCGATTGTGAGGGGCTCGGCTGGAAGACGACGGTTCCAGCGTTGGGACTGCCATTGGTGAACTGATGGATGGACTGTCTCCTGCCAGGCGTCGCCGCCTTGCGCTCCTAGGGAAAACAAAACCAACATAAAGTTTAATTTTAGTTTAGCTTAAATCTCCTACCAAAGTATTATATTTCCCAATGATAATGAGATCTTAAAAACTTCCCCCCGAGATCAACTTACGTGTTCCTGGGGATTGCTGTTGGCGTTTACTTGACTGCCACCGGCTACGAGCACCACATCCTGTGGGAACGGCGAGAGCGATGGCGATGGTTGCAGACGAGGGCTAGCTGAGATCGATGGCGATGGACTGGGCGTCAGAAACGGACCCGGAGGAGACAATATTCCTGGAAGCGAAACAAAGCGAAAACGCAAGGGCGAAATTAATATTTGCTTACAAAATCGGGCTCAAAGTTGACCCAAATATATATATAGATATAGACAAAGTGTAAGTGTGTGTGAGTGTATATATGAGGGCATATCTGGAGCTGCAATCGTTTTTTGGTACGTGACCAAAGTGGCAACTGTCCTCGGGTTCTCCAAGTACCTCTCACAGAGATAGCAGTGCCAACCAGCAGCAGCGCATCTCCCATAATTGTCCGCCATTTCACAAAGCTGTTTACTCTACCCCTTGGCCCTACTTTTGTTCCCCTTTGTGCATACAAGAGCGAGGCAACTTAGCACATTTTCAAACACCAGCTGAGTGCCCCTCCTCGCTTCACTTACACAGCGACACACGGGCCGAAGACAGATACAATTTGGTTTTGGGCCAGAACCAGTTTCATTTCGAGAGTTCTTTGCACTTCTTCGGCTCTTCAGTGTCTTTCTCACACTTCTTTTGTTCGAATTTTGGGCTTTTAGAGGAGCAGGGAATACTGCTCCGCTTTTAGCTTTCAGTTTTCAGCTTTCAAAATATTGGCCAAAGGCATGGGTAATCTCGACAGGCATTTAATTCAATTGGGAGCTCGCTTTCAGAAAGTCTCGAGGCGTTGATGGGAAGGTGTGGAGCGAGTTTGCTTAGAAGGAGTTAATCCACCGGATATGCTCTTTTTCTGGCTTTGAGAACCCATTTAAATTTATTAAATTATTTCCTTTGTCCATAACATTCCATATGGTTCAATAATTCGTTACTTTGTCCAAGTAAATTGTATTAAATCCTCCTTCTCGAAGCTTCTCGTTCGCAGCTTCCCAGGAATAATTTGCATATATTGCCACAGCTGGAAATCGCCAAGTGCGAGGGAGGGGAAAACAGGGCCAAAAAGGGTTTTCGTGGGGGCAGACAGCAGATGCAACTGAAGAGCGCCAGAAATGAGAAGCAAAAGGGAAAATAATACTCAAACGTTAACGACCCGCCTTTAAGTTAAGTTCGATAATACCCTTATGCAACAGTTGAGTAGGTGCTACCAGGATATATATTGACTTCCTAATTTAATTTAATAATTGTGACAAGGAATTAATTCATAGAATAATTTATGCACAACCCCTCAGACCATTACTAATGTCTACCTAAACTAGTATTGCTGTTGACATAAGGCGTGATCCATCTGCTATATCCTCCGTGAGAGTATAGACTGCCAAGGAGGAGGATAAGCGAACATAAGCATGCATCAAAATCGACATCACCGTCTCGTTGTCGGCAACTGAAAGGGTTTAGAGGTGGGAAAGGAAGGTGCCTTCGCAGGAGGAGCTGCAGTGTTTCGAAGTCGGCTGCCGACGCAGCATCATTATCGACAGCAAAACTAAATGCAAAAGAATTTAACAAGCGCCCCTTGCAACTGCCTATACAGCAACCGAAAGCTCCCTGCTCCTCCTTCTACTCCTTGCCTTCTGAATGCTCCCCGCTGGCAGCAGTCGTTGCCATTCAATCCTCATCAAGATGGCCAGAAGGTTGGGAGAAGATTGTGTTGGCCGTGATATATTCCTGGCATCGAGTAATGCGAGTCTGCTGCCTGCCTTTTGTGTGTGTGAGAGTTGCCAAGTTGCCAGGGCGATGTTTGTTTGCTGCCACCAAAGGATTGGCAAGCGGAGGATGAGCCGATATGGCTCACAAGTCCAAATCAAAAGCAACAGCGCCAGGCACATCCTATATATGTATTTTTGTATGTACGTATGTACATATGGGAATATGTGCTGGCTGCTCAGCCCCACAACTGAATGGCGGAATCGCGGATAATCCCCTGTTCAGCTTGACTTGCCTTTGACGCTTTTGTCGCAGCATTTTCATTTCAATTATGTAATTAAATAAACATAAATGTATCTTATAATGAAAAGGATAAACCTATAACAGTCCTGATTATATTGCTAAGAGTTACTTCCGGTTGATTATTAGAAAAAAGTTAACACTAATTAGGTCTATAAATATTGCAAAGGACTTTCGGAGGCTAACTTAAAAAGTTATTTTGATATATATATATTATTTAAATAAGATACTTTTCGTGATACTTTTTCCTTTATACCCTTTTAGCTTTATGCATTAAAAATAATTAAATTATAAGGTAGCATAGACCCCAATTAAAGTATAATAAGTTTGTTTACAACATCCAAGGGGTGTATTATAACGACGGCTTCGATGGGCAACCGGCGATATCTTTGACACGACAACTCCCTTTTTGCACAGTCTTTAATTAAACAGTTAGCAGGCGGAGGAAGCGAGATGCCAGAGCCTTGGTAATTTCACACAAAGGCAAACCACAAACGCAACTAACAGGCAGATGGCTGGGTGGCAAGTGGGTGGCGGGCAAACGAAAAAAAAATTGAAAGAGAAACTAAAGGATAAATTGACAAGCAGACACACAGATACACACCAACACAGAAACGCAGCAGACACACAGAAAGATACGCCAAACTTTTTGCCAGGCGAACCACAGATGAGCGCACTTTTGGGTGCCGCCTGACATGGCGAAAATGGTCGGTATGGATGCATGGATGGATGCTGGATAGATAGATAGATGGAAACTGTGGAAGCTGGGTGGAAAAATGGGGCTGGGGTTTTGGGAGGACTCCCTGGCTGCCTGACGGCCATTTACTTGAGTGTCTGGGCGCAAAACAGAGGCACCAGGAATGGCAACAGCAATATCAACGGTCTAAGGACGCCTTTGAAGGAGAACTACACATGGAGAATAGCTAAGCGAACAAATAATTATTTTAGCCAATTAAGAAAAGAGTGTGAGAGGAAAACTTTTAGATGAATGTTTAAGATTCTTCTTTAGAAGTTCTTTTGAAGTGATTTCTAATAAAAAGGAAAGAACTTATCCTTGTTTATAATCTAAAATTATTATCTACGATGCATCTTATGTGATACATGTGAGACTACATTTTAGTTTCAGTGCATCTAGATTCTGAAGCAGAGCCGCGTAATATTTTGCATTTCGTGCCGGGGCAGAGGCAAGCGGCTGTTGGTCGCGACTCGTCGCGAGATGAATCCTATTTACAAGGCACAGTTCTGACTGACTGCACATACACTAGGAGGGTTCTGTATAGGACGGGGGTGATGCTAAGGATGGGGTCAGGCCAGGAGGCAGCTTGTCAAAGTCAGTAAAATTTTAGTCGCTTTGAACGACAGACGTAACTGCAGCACAAGTACAAGAAAAACGGAGTGGAGGAAGGCAGCTGCAAAAAAAAGCGTAAACTGAAAGGTAGTGGCAAAGTGTTTTTGCTGTTTTCCCTCTGTGCAAGTGTAGTGGCATGACCCCCCAACCTCCCTACCGATTCGTTCAAGAAAATATTTTCTAGTACGCCTTGGAGGTAATTCGAGTTGTTAAGCTGCCTTTGCAACCAGCAAAGAACAAGATTTAATTGATTAAAATGTGTAAAACAGCAGGGACAGCCGTTACAGACAAAATATCAAGGTACTATGTTTACTAAATCCTCTTATTGGGTCTTCAGATTATATGTATATCACTTTATATCACTTTTATAAAGCCAGAAAATATATATAGAATTTATATTTTAAAGGCCTTTAATAAATCACAGAAACCAAAGCAGGAAAATGTTAAAACTTCATCATCTATTATTGCACTTTATGGTAATATTTATAGGATATTTTAGCCAATCAATAAATATGTATAATTGGCGAGTATTTAGCACACATAATCCGATTTAGTCAAGCATAAATCACTAACAAGAAACAAGAAATTCCCAGGAAAAAACAATCGCATTGACAAACTTTTTGCCAAATCATGCGTTAATGGGATTTATCCACATTATAACCCAGCAGAGTTACCAACCAGATCCGAGCACTCAGCATCCAGTCCATCCCCAAGCAGCATACAATTTTTTTCGCTCCAGTAAATTCCATTTTACCGAGCTATGGCGAACACAAAAAAAAAAATGTATATTTATATGCGAGAGCTCAGACTGCGACTATGAGTCTGGGTTTGGGACTCCGACTCTGACTCCTCGCATCGTAGGACACTTTGGAGAGACCTCCTCTGCTCTGGGAGGAACTGGAGCGGGGAGCCTTATGCTTTCGCATATTTTATGTGGCGGTAAGTGTGTGCTTGTGTCTGTATCTCAGTCTTTGTTGTTTCATTTATTCGGTTGACTGGCATGACCTCAGCATGGCGACTTCTTTCCACCTTGGCCACCCCTCTCTTGCCGTGCCATTCCATTCCACTCCTTTCCCTTCCACAACAACAATTGCTAAGTAGGAGCTGCTGCAAGCGGCGCCGCCATCCTGCGACTCTTTAGCGATTCTTGGTCTTCTTATTTTACCCTTTTTGGAGGACATTATGCCTTCAGTTAGAAGTCTTGCACAGCGGGGCTTTCTTTTTAATCGCATAGAAATTTTGCACTCTAGACTAACCCGAAGATGATGATTAATAAAAGTAATTGCAGGGCAGAAAAAGGTTCTGTTGTTAGTGGTCTGAACTGCATAAATATCAGGATCACATTACTATTTATAAGAAATGTTCTTTCTCAGAGATTAACCTTTGCAACTTCATTGATGATCAATCAGCTTAGGGTTTCTCAAAACTAATTGAGAAATCTTGTTTGGATTTTCTTAACAATTATTAGTTTTGTCAACACTTACAATCTTCTGAAAGATGTTAAATATCCGAAGCCAAACGATACTCCATTCCAAGCAATTATTTCGTGAGATATTAGTTTTAGCCTCTTGTTTTTCTTTCATCAATACAAGGGTATAAAACCAATCGGTCTTCAAATCTATTGTTGCTGCATTGTTGCTGCTGATTCTGCTTGTGGATGTCTGATTTCGCTCCTACTTCTCCTACTGTTTTTTTCCCTGCTCCTGGTTCTCGCATCTGCCTCTCGGCTCGTTCTATTGTCACATTTTGTAACAATGGCAGCCGTGCGCGCGAATCGGACTCAGAAAAAGGAGCCGAGT